GGTTTCTCAGTGAATGGCAGGGCATCTGCCTGGACTGGCGGAGCAGTGAGAGAAGAATAGGAAAAGGAGGAGGACGCTAAATGACAAAGGGGAGGCTGGCCAGAAACCAAACCCAGACACACCACAAACTGGGAGTACTTGTAGCCTTTCCTCCCCCAGTACCCAGATCACACAGCCCCACTGGCACCACTTGGGCAATGAAGGGATAGGATGGGGAGATTTTGTTGGCTGCAGTAAGGAGCTCTGAACTCAGGAACAAAAGGTTCTTACCAACAATACCACCTTGTTTTACACACGGGGAAACTGAGGCCAGAGAAATTAAGTCTCTTCTCCAAGGTCTCCATGCTAGTGGCAGAGTCCTTACTTGAGCAGATTTTGTCTACATTTGCTTCCCTTTCACCACTGCATGTGAACCCCATGCTGAAGGTAGAAAGGCAGCAGCCCTAAACCCAGCAGAACCTGGTACATTTCCAGACATGTCCCCAGCTGCCCACTAGGCTGGAGGATTTAGAAAAGAGTATGCTCTAGGGGAAGATGAAAGGAGTCATGGTAGCTACCAGTAGCAGGCCAGAACAAATGATCGTAGACTGGTCTGGAATGTCTTGCTATATAAAAGGCGATGAAAGGTTCCAGCTTTCTGAGAACCGGCTCAGAGGAAATGAAAAGGAAACAGGATTAAGGTTAGATTTAAGGCAACACTTTCTCTCAGGGATGATAATGGGATCCTTAATTCAGTGACCAAGGAAGGCTGTGGACTTATCCCCCTCCGTTCTACTTCTGAGGCCTTTGGGAACCCATCTTCCAGTCCCGCACAGGACGGGAATGAGTGAGACACAAGACTTTAACAAGTCTCCTCCACTCAGGTAGGAGATCCTTTTCCTGGATGGGCCTCCTGGGCTCTTTGCTAAGGATGAGGACAGCAGCCATTCTGGCTCCAGGGCCCTGGGGGGAGAAACAGCAGTCGTGGCATCTCTTGCTACATGCTCCCTGCCAAATTGATTCAAATTGGCTTGGATATGAACATATGATTAAAGGAGCGGCGCGATTCATTTATCAGGAGAGATTAAAGAGCGGCATCTGCGCAGCCTAGCTGGGGGACAATTAAGGAGCAAATCGCTAAGTGTCTGTGCCACCAAGCACAGGGGCGGGGGATGGGGAAAGGACAACTGGGATAATTTTGCCAAGGACAAAAGGAGGCAGTTCGGGGGGTCACTGCCTGCTGCTGTCATGTCTGGGTACTGTAGGGGAGTCCCCCTCCCATCTTATTCAGGATTTAGAGCAATCCTGAGGGCCTGAGATTTGAGATGAGGATCTAGCAGGGCAGCTCTAAGCCTGGCACAGGGACAGAGTTCTTTTGTTTTCAGGAATCATACACATCTTAGAGATCAGATCTAAGGAGCTTACAGAGCTCTCAAGATGCACCCAAAATGAAGCCAGGCTTTGGTGGCCCTCTAGCCCCCTTGGGTCCTCTAGGGAGTTGGTGCTGAGGGAATTGTCTCCTTCACAGCCTGGAGGTCAGCACCCTGGCCAAGAGGCTTTGCTGAAGCTGGAAGAAGCATGGATCACGAGAGGCAATGGCTTCTGGCTTTCCCTAGACAGCCTATGGCATGCTCTGTCACCACTAACCTTTCCCTGCCTCAGGACCTTTGCTCAAGTGCCTCTTTCTTCCCAACATGCCTGTGCCAAAAATATCTATCCTTTTTTTAAGCCCCAGCCCAAAATACCAACTCTTTTTAGGATCTTTCCCAGTCTCCCTTCCCCCCTCACCAAAGAGAAATGTCTCCCTTAAAGACATTCTCTCGTATCTATTCCAGTCCCAGTCCACAAACCCCTAGAGGACAAGCACTGTGATTTATTCTTCTCCATCCAGCCAAGCTTGCACATAAAAAAGGTGTAGTACATGATTTGTTTGCTGAAGTCCTGCAGTAGAATACCTTTTTTTTTTTTTGGTACTTGGGCTTGAACTCAGGGCTTACACCTTCAACCACTCTGCCGGTCCTTTTCGAGTGAGGGCCTCACAAACTGTTTGCCCAGGCTGGCTTCAAACTGCGATCCTCCTGATCTCTGCCTTCTGAGTAGCTCGGATTACAGGCATGTGCCACAGGCACCCATTAGAATGCCCAATTTGTGAAGGAAGTGACTAACTCAATCTACTCTCCATACTTAGGACCATGCCTAGACCACAGCAGGGTTACAAAATGTTTCTCAACTGTTGAGCAAATGAATAACACGTTTCATGACTTTAGCAAAGCCCTTTTTTATCCCATGCTGGCTGTGGTGGTGCACACCTCTAATTCCAGAACTCGGGAGACTGAGGCAGGAGGATAGAGTTTGAGCCCAGCCTGAACTACAGAGTGAGACTCTGTCTCTAAACAATATAAAAAAAAAATGAGGGCTGGGGATGTAGTTCAGTGGTAGAGTATTCGCTTAGCATATATCAAGCCCCAGCACCAAGGGGGGAAAAAAGCCCTTTGCCCCAGGTCAGGTTATTGGAGGTCGATATCGGGACTTTCCAGTCCCAGAGGTCACTTGATATGGATGAACTGAATTGGGAACCTGTTAGCAGGTGGCAGAGTTATTTGTCATACTTGTTTTGGGGAGAAAGAAAAGACACACATTTTTAAAAGCAGTAGTCAGCCATAGAGGCTGGTGCTTATAATCCCTTGCAGGCCTAAGGTAGGAGGATCATGAGTTTGTCTAGGCTAATAGTGAAATTCAGTCTCAAAAAAAAAAAAAAAAGATAAAAGCAGCAGGAAAAGATGTGAATGACAGAACTGGAGATGAGCCAAGGATTTTTTTTTAAAAAGAGGAATCCATGGTTGGGATGTAGATCAGTGGCACAGTGCTTGCCTGTCAAGTGCCAGGCACTGAGTTCAATCACCAGCACCACAAAAAAAGAAAAAAAAGAACAAAAAACAAAAAAACCCAAAACTCTATGTCTATTGCCTCCTCCATTCTATTGTAGGGTAGTGAAGGGAAGTCTTCTTTGTTCAAGATGCATCTATTTCATATCTCTCTCCAGCTGGTTTTGGTGGTGATTTTTCTTCTTCCTTCCCTTTCTTGATTCTTTTTGTGTGGCTGACATTACCAGAGCCTGGGCAAAAGAGCTGTCTGCTATCCCCCCTGCTTACCTGCCCAACCACTTGATTCCTGTGGGAACTATAACTGGTGACATTCAGAAGGTAGAGAAGAGGAGTCATTTGTTTCTTACCCATCTGTATGAGTTGCCACAAAGCTGTTACTGAAGGGACAAGGCTAGTGACCAGGCATGGGCAGGAACGGAGCAAAGCATAGAAGGTAGCACTCCTAGTCTGTTCAAGTTGCCCTGTAGCCAAAATCGGCTAGGAGCCAGAGAAAGCTCTGCCAACTTTTGATCAAAAAGTCACCTTTGGAATGACTTTAAAAATTAAGTTCTGAAAAGGGCTTAAAGTCTTAAAAAAAAAAAAAGTAAGAGAAGATAGAATTGGTGAGATCAATAATCAAATGGACAGCAGCATTCCCCTGTGGTGGCCAGGGAGAACAAGGCTTGCCTGGCTCTGCCAGTCTGAATTACAGTCCACAGGCTCTCACCATAAAAGTGAGGGTTGTCTTCCTTAGCCAATCACGTCATCTCACTACCTGCCCCAAATGACCTGTTGAGGCTGAGCAGCATTGGTTCTACAGAGAAGCAGGTCAGAGATCAGGGTGACCCCTTCGTGTTCCCATTAAAATTCCAAGTCTGTTTTCACCTGGTGACCACCCTGAAATTTCCCTGGGCCTGAAGGAAAAAGCAGGAAAGCTGGCATGGCTAGGAGGAAATGGGCCTTTATTTCTATACATCAGGTGGACAGGAAAGAGCACAGCCCAGTGAATACAAACCAACTGCAGGGGGAAGGGGAACGGCACACAGGAGCGGCACTAGGCTGCCCTTGGGCCCAAGTCTGGTGGAAATGGCAGGAAAACCTTTTGGGGGGATGGCTGGGACCTCCAGACTGCTTGTTGCTTTGTGTGGAGTAAGTGTGTGAGGACAGAGATGGGAGGAGAACACAGTTGAGGACTTGTGTCCGATAAACACCAGCACTGCCCAGATCTTCCATCTCCCACAGTTCCCCACACAAGCCCTCAGCCCCAGTTCAACCTCTCAAGTGAAGCTGATGGCTGGTAATGTGGACAGAGCAGAGAGAGGCATTGCTTAGTAAACCCCGAGCTGGTGTAGGTGGAATAGGTTTACCCTTAAATAGGTCATTGCACTTAACACACTGAAGAGATGAAAAGGGTGGATAGGGCTAGGAGTTCTGATGGTACAGTGGCACCCATCTGTGGAGGCTCACTTGGCCCAACCAGAAGCACCTGGCAGCCCTCCCTATGCTGAGCCCCCAGCTCTGCTCACCAGTGTCCTTGGCTGCACACAGAAAGGACTGCACCCAGAGGAGTGAAGATGGAGAGGAGATGCTGGAGGCATTCCACCCAGATGCCACTGCAGCCCCCTCCCACGCTCAGGGATGCAGCTGTGATGGGTTGGGCACTTAAATTAAAAAGTAAAAAGACAGCAGGCACTGAGGAGAGAAAGCCCTCATCCCAAACCAGAGGGAAGGAGTTACTTGTCCTCCTCCCCATGGACCCAGCAACCTTAAATGGCCCAGTAGGCAATCTATCCACTGTTCCAGAGCATGGGGCTGAGATGGAAGTTGACTTGCTGGCTTCATGCAGTGCCAGGCCACCTGCCACTGCCCATGGTAGTCTAGGCTTGAAGCCAGAGTGTGGCGTTTGTGAGGCAGGGAGGAGCAAAAAGTTTGCTGTTCAGAAACTCCTCCCCACTTCTTCCACATGGAGATATCAGAAACCCACAGCCTGGAAAGTTCCCCTGAAAGAAGAGGGTCGGGGTGTTTTCCATGCAGATCAGTGGTCAGGTGTCGGGGGGGTTGGGTGCCCCGCCATTTCCTGGGAGAGGCCGCGGGGTGGGAGGACTTCAAGTCACTCCCCTGGGCTATGCATCAGTCTCTATCAGCTTGGGTTCTGTGTCACTGTCACTCAGATAGCTGTGGGAGTATCGCAGTCTGGAGGTGCTGTCCAGAGGGTCCTGCTCATCATCTGACCGATCTGGGGCAAGGGACTTCCAGTGGCTGGTGGGGCTGCAGGGAAAGAGAAACAAGGTCAAGGCCAAATGACACTTCTACCCAGGAGCATCAAAGCCCTGTTAGAGCACTCCAAAAACCTAATCCTTGGTTCACCTGGGAGACAATCAATGTTTTTAGAGAAAAGAGCACAGTTTGGACCTGGAAAGCTTTTAAAACTTCTAGGATAGGGATCCTAAAGAGCAGCGGGGCCCAGGGCTTGAGCAAGAGAAAGAATCATCAGAGATTCCTGGGTTCTTCCCGTCAGAAGATTTTGACTCAACAACTCTTGGGTAGAACCCAGGGAGTCTGCATTTCCAGCTCCCTCCCCAAAAGATTCTGATGCAGGCTGTCCATGAACCACGTGAATGAAGACTGGAGGTCTAGTGACTACATGATTACAACTTGTCCAAGGTAAGGGGGCAAGGGTCTCTTAGGCAAGTTATTCCTAAAAGCATTCCTTTTAAGAGGGGTTTTCCCCATTGAATACTCCCAGATCTTAACTCTTTCTCCTAATCAGGGTTTTCTAAGACCTGCAAGAATTCTGTCTTGACCATGGCATCCTCTACTCACAAGAATGGAGAATCAGGAAGCAAGGGCTGGCAAGACTTCTGTTTCAGGGTAGGCCAATGGGAGAAAAGCCCCTAACTCCATAATCTTCATCAGGCCTATGGCTCTGGAAGCCTCCAGCTAGCCCTCTAAAGTTAAGGAGCATTGTCTCTTGGATGGGGCAGGATCATGGCTTCTAATGAGGGGAGATGGAATCTGTTCTTCCAGTTCCATTTACCTTCTTTCTTTCTTTCCCAGAGCCCTGGAGCCACCTTCCCTCCTGTTTCCTCTGCCTCTGCCTATTCACATGCACTGTAATTCCAATACAGTCCAGTGTGGCTCCACTCGTACTGTGCCCTGCACTCAGCTGGGTCCGTCGAACTGCTGCTCTGCCCTGTGCTCTAAGCAACAGAGGGACAGAACCCTGCCTCCAAATCCTAGTGGGATTCTACTTGGGTAAACGGTCTTCATGGGTTACAATTCTGATTTAAGAATCTGAGAAGGACCCTTTATTTACTGGTCTTTTAAAAATTTTGCCCCCAAACCACAAAAGGAGGAAATAGAGTTCTTTCAGAAAAAAACAACATTCTTAGCTTTCCTTGAGATGTTGGTGAAAGATCTAAAAAAAAAAGATTCTACCATTGGGTCCTCCTGTGTGTGAAAGACAGCCCAGGACTCCTAGATGTGCTGTCTTATTCTTTACAGAAATCCTATGGCATATTATGAAGAAGCGGGTTCAAAGAGATGAAGCATCTTGTCCAAGGTCACAGAGCCAAGATGTAAACTTGAACCTGAATCTCAAAGCCTTGGGACAATTCCACTCTGCTGTTAGATTGGAGCCTGAGAAGAAAACAAGACCAAACCTGAATTTTCCTGCTGGCCTGGGTGAGTGCCCATGGGTATGTAAAGACAGGTCTCTCTCTGTCCCTGGAGAAATGAAAAGCTTGGAAGAATACACGTTCAATTATGCAAAATGGCTCAGGAAGGGGGCAGTCTGGTTAATAGTTATCTTATTTCTCATGAATGAATTACCATTTTTAAAGGAATTGGAATAGCACAAAACATACTTAATACAAACTAGACTGAACATTAATGAGTCTTACTTTGATGGGCCAGAGGCACTTAAGGACTCAGAGGTGTCTCCAGGACAAAATTATAAGGCACAATGATGACTATGCAACACAGGAAAAAATGGGGTTATTTTAGCTTTGGGGCTGTCTGGATTCTAAACTTGTAGGAGCCAGATTTTAATTTTTTATACAGAATTTCTGGGCACCCAGTGCTAAAGGTCTGCTGTTGGGCAAAGGAATGCCAAGCTTTGAGGAAAGACAATGGGGTTATTTTGTGGGCAGAAGAGGCAAGGTAGATGCCAGGACTGCGATCCAGATGCAAATGAGGCAGGGTTGGAGAGCCCAGGTCTGTGTGTGACCTGCTCCATCCTTGCCCTTGAGCTCCTTTCCATCCTTCATCTCTTCTCAAAACCCCTAATTCCGGAGCTCACATTCCACACACCTGGGTTAACAACAATCAGGTTTCTATGCTGTTCCATCAAGGCACTAGGCAGAGGCAGAGGCAGAGGCAGTGGAGAGGTGGCAAACTCTGTGCCTTACTCTTCTCTGGGCTATGGATCCACAAGATCCCGCTGGCTTCTACCTTGGGTTCTCCTTGGCCAGTCTCCTTAGTGGCTACTGTTACAGCCATCAGAAGGCCAACAGCAGGCAGCTCCCCTCCTCCCCAGGGCAAGAGTCAGTGCTGGCAATTGCAACATTTTAACCAAATTGTTTAAAAAGCTTTCTTCCCCACAAGCCAGCGTCTCCCACTCAGGGCTGTCAGAAACAATTTGGTACATAAGCTAATTCCCGCTGGGAGAGCCCAGTGTGGCAACTCCTCTCCCCTGAACTCTGCTATATGCCAGCAAAGTCCTTTCTCCCCTGCCCTACTCTTATTCTGTGCTGGTTGGCTAGGTTCTGGAGTCACTGTTGGTGACTCCAGTCCTCAGAGGTGATGGAGTGTAGTGTTTCAGGACTACTCCTGCTTTTCTGGTGGATACTGGGCTCATGGGTGCTGGAAGGAACAGGCTTTCTATCCTTTTGTTCCTGCTGGTTGTCAGGACAAGGGTTATGGTTGGCTGAAGGCATTGAAATTTTAAATCTGCCAGTCAATATGGGATGGCCCAAGGAGATCCATGCCTCCTTTAGGGTATGGAGGGCAATGTGTAAAAGGGCCAAGCCTTCTATGCTTTCTAGACTGACTCCTCCAACCACCAACTGACTTCCTGCCCTGGAGGGGTGCAGGGCACTTAGCGAGGCTATTAAAGGGAGGCTTAAATGTTAGACCAAATATTTTGATTCTGTCTTTTCTCACTATGGAGCAGACAACAGCTCCCCAATGCAATTAAGATGCTTCCTGCTCTCCCTCAAGCACCCTGTAACCATCTGCCACATGGGGGAAGACAGAGCAATGCTGAACCCAAGGGCTGATTTCAGAGCTGTTCAGGCCTGAGCAATGAGTTGGCGATGAGCCTAATCTGGCTTCAAGTTCCACCTTTCCTATCCCATATACTTCTCCAATCCCATCTCATCACCCACTTCCAAAAAGCCACTGGTGACATTCACTTCTGTTCCTTACAGGGGCCTTCGATTGGTTCCTTTTGGTACCACCAATCCAAAGTCAGTGATCTGTCCAGCTGCTCATGGCCCAAGCATGCGGCAAGTGTGTTAGTTCATGCATGTGGGAAACAATCATGATACCCAGGGGACTGCACCTTGGGGTCGTACCACCTGGGAAGCAAGTGTGCCCTGGGAGGGTACCATGCTGAAAATCAGCTTCACACAACCCTGGTGCTCCCAAATGTCACCGCCCACCAATGTAATAGCAACAATGGGATTCCAATGAGTCAGGCTCTGCCTCTCTTCCACAGTGGGGGTGTGAGCACAAAGGGCCTAACTGCTGCATCTCCCTCCCCACAGGGAGAACAGCCGGGGGAGGCAGGAGAGCCAGGAGGGGGCTGTCACTCAGCAGCTGCTAATTTCTATTCATTGGAACTTCACAGGATGAGCAGAGCTGAAGTGACACCCACCCGTGTGTGGGCTGTGTGCGAGGGCGGGAGGGCTGAGGAGGGCGTTAGGCATCTCCTGGGTCTGCTGTGGGTGTGGTATGGTGTAGGCTGCAGCCCTGGAAGCCCTTGTGCTCCTGGGCTTGAGATCCACACTAGGCAAGTAGGTGGCTTTGGGAATGGAGTGGAGCAGAGCAAAAGGCTTCATAATAGTTTGTGGCTACTGATGTACTAACCCTCAGCCGGGGTGTCAGCTAGAGCCCTTTTCTGGGTCCAGCCTATTGGGAACGTGGATGGAGGCTCTCAAATGGGTGCTGTCTGGCACACACATTACCCATGTGTTCTGCATTCAGCCATATTGAGAAATGGTTAAGAGTGCTGAGCTAAACAGATCCCATTTAGGTATTGGTAATGTCACTTCCCAACTATGTGACCTTAGCATCTTAACCTCTCTGAGCCTCTGCTTTCTCTATGCAACAGGGTTGATGAGACCTTTGTTCTGGGGTTAGTGTGGGGATTAAGTGCATAAAGCACAGCACAGTAGGACAGCCTCTCGCCCAGGGTAAGGACTTGGTAAGTGGAGGTATAATCAACATCACCAGTGAGCTCAGTAGACTGGGCTCAGAGCTCAGAGTGACTAACTAGCTTAGCTGGTCCCTGAATTCCAAGGTAGCCAGCTGGGAGGCTCTTCAAGGCCAGGTTGGCCCAAGAGGACTGCAGGTGGGGCCTGAAGTGGTGGCCCATGGGGCAGGGAGCATATTAGTTCACGCTGGGTGGGACACACCATGCTGCACGCCACACTAGGTGCCACCTACTGCACTAGTCGCTCTCGGGCCGGTACAAGTACCGCATCATTAGGCTGTCCACTTCCTTTTTGCGCTTCTTCTCTTCCTTCCTTGACCGCCGGTCCGCCTGCCCACCCTCCTCACTTTCCGTGGCTGGGCCCTTCTTCACACTTGAGCGGCTGTGGCCTGAGACCGTGGAACCACTGGATGAAGAGGACTCAGACTCAGACTCAGTCTCAGTTTTTCTTCTTCTAGATTTGGACTTCTTCTTGCTCTTCCGAGAGCGTCCCTTCTTCCGCCGCTTGTGCTCTGAGGAGCTTTCAGAGCTGGAGCTGGAGCTGGGGCTGCTCCTTCTGCTCCTGTGCTTGCTCCGGCTCTTGTGGCCACTGCGTGACCCAGAGACATCAACAGCAGAGGCAGAGCGGCGGATGCTGGTGCCTCGCTCTGGGAGGTCCAACTGGGCACTCCGGGTACTTTGGATGCTCTTCCGGTCATCTTCCTCAGAGTCAGGCTCCAGGCTGCTTCGCTGGAATGGCACAGGTTTATAGCTCAAGACCTCATTGATGGCAGCCTCCAGGTCTGGGTCCAGGTAGGAGTGACGGCTGATGGGGCGGATGCTGGAGCTGAGTGACTCGTCGGTGACTGAGGTTGAGGCCGAGGCCAAGCCATGTGGCTGGGGTGGCACAGACAGGCTGCGGGCTAGCGACAGGTGGCTGACCTGTGAGTGTGCCTCACTCAAGGCCACGCTGGCTCTATCATCCCACTCATCTAGACAGCTCTGGCCCAGGGACAGACGGGAGCCAGGGCTTTCCCCGCCCAGGCCTGAGGCCCTGCTCCAAGAAGGGCTAAGGGTCCTTGACAGGCTGTCAAGCCTTGAGGTGCTGCGGCGGGAGCTGGGTGAGCTGGACAGTGAGAAGCTCAAGGAGGAGCGGGCCTCATCCTCGCCAGAGCCTCGCCGCGTGGCTGAGGACGCCCGGCTGACAGGTGCAGAGACAGCTGAGGCCCTGTCAAAGTCTGAGCCCCAGCGCTTCTCCAGGCCCCGGCCTACACGGCTCCCAGATCCCATGGAGAAGATGGAGCTGCAGTCAACCGGTTCCTCTGACCTCCTGCCCTGGCCCTGACTTGGCTCTTCCCGGGTACCTGGGTGGGCCTTCCTGGGGGGCCTCTCGGGAGAGGAGGCACGCTCACTCAGGGTGGTGAATAGAGAGTCCTGGTCCCCTGTACCCCCAATGGAGTCCTTCAAGGTGAGCCGCTTGCGGTAGCTGAGCGAGCTGAGCACGGAGGCTGGTCTCTCCTCCAGCCCCTTGCCTTCCTTAGGGAGGCTGTTGAGGGCCGTTCTGAAGGTGGGGATGTGAGGGCCCGGGAGGAGAGAACCCAGAGTGGATGTGGGGCAGCCAAGGAGGAGAGAGAGAGAGAGAGAGAGAGAGAAAGGGAGGAGCTGGCATTAAACCTCCTAGAATAAAGACATGGGGAGGGAGGCAGAGGAGGAGAAAGCAGCAGCAGCCCTGGCAAAGTGGTGGTGAGAGCATCGGAGGAAATGAAGCAAAATAATTTGCGTCAGTGAAAATAGCTTCATGGAGAATGTCATGTAAATTAGACTATTGTTCTATTTCATCACTTTCCCCCCTCTAAAACGTTTAGTTCAATTTATTTCATTGTCAACTACCTGGAGCCTCGTGCCACACCATGGTGAACGGCAGTGGGGTGGGGAAGGCAGTATTACCTTCAAAAACAAAATGTTTGGCTGAAAAAATTTAAACTAATTAGAGGGGGCCACTGGGTGCTGGTGGCGAGGGGCTGGATTTGGGGAAAGAGTCTGGGGGAATTGGAGATGGAAGATGGATATTACTTTTTCTATCTAGCCCACTTGCTGTCTCTGGAGGGGGTGAGGAAGGGTGTGCCCTGGAGGATAAGGCTAGAAGGATTCTGTGCCTGGGGGTGAAGGGAGGGACCAGCAGGGGAGTGGTCATTGGAGGGGAGACAGCCAAGGACTGGACTGTTCTTCCTCTCTGCCAGCAAAGGATGGGAAGTGGGAGCTCTGGCTTTCAGGGGATGCTGATACAATCAGAAGATGATGATTAGCTAGGAAATAGGGGAGCAAGTCCACCCCCCCCCCGCAGTGGATGGATGTTAGCAGGGAGCCTGGGGGTTGGGCAGTGAAAAGCTTAGAGGAAGGACAGAATGAGCAGAGGACAGAAATGTAGCTATGGCTATGAGAGGACTCAGGGGAACTGGCGCCTTTTCATTGCTATTCCTATTAGGATGGTAGCGATCCAGAGCTGGCCAAGGCTGTTCTGTACAGGGCTGTGGTATCCAGAGTTCACTGTACTTCACTGCAGATTTGATTCCAAGGGCCCAAATAATCAGGTGATTCCATCACCATTGGCTAAATGGGTAAGTAGAGATGAAGTTAAACCTATACCAGAGCCCTGAGCCTAACAGGGAAACATTTCCTGAAACACAGGCAAGATGCAGAACCTTCAGAAGAAACCAGTCACTTCCTGAACTTATTCCACAAGCCAGAAGACATGTGAGCCCCTCACTTAAGACACCAGGAGAGCAATAAAATTGGCATGAGGCTAGCCATCTTGGCACTAAGTAATATCTGCCCCTGATGGCCTAATGGCTTTTCTCCCCAGCTCAAGGCCATGGGCTCACCTGGAACTCTTCAAGCTGCCATCATCAGAGGTTGCTTTGGAAGGTCCCTTGTTTTTTGACAACCAGGATTTGACCCCGTCGACCCGGTTCTCCAGCTCTGAGTCCACATCTGAGTCCCCCTCGCTGTAGGGTAAGGAGCAGAAAGGTAGGCAAGACCAGGCAGATGGGGGACCACCTGCTGCCCAAGAGGGAAAGCAGAGGGGGACTGGAGTGTGTCTTGGGCAGGGGTGAGGTACAGGTGGCATGCACATCAGTGAGTCAGGGAGAACAGAGGTTAGAGCATACCATTCAGGATGAGCCTGTTCCACTCAGCAGGCCATACTGTGTGACAGCCACCAAGAAGATCCCTGAGCACATGGAGGCACCCTCCATCTAACGGTCAGGGATTGACAGCTGTGCAGCTAACCAACCCAATGACAATGACAGGAAAGTCACACACTTAGCAATGACGGCCAAATGGCTCTTGGTTAAAAAGAATTCTGGGCTACCCCTTGAGTCCTAAGTCACTGTTTCCTATCTGTCATGCCCCACATTGTGGCTATACATACACACACACCACTTTGCCATTTTCTATGCTAGGCTGCCAGCCATGAGGCAGAACAGAGGGTCTTCACACAATTTCAAGTTAGCTTGAACCTCAAGGTCTCCTTAGCTAGTACCTGGGCACTAGGACATGGAGACAGCTTCTGAGTGAGAATGCTTTGCAAAATGTCTGTTCACCAAGGGCTCCTACTACTGGATAGACTGGGATTTCTCCTTGATATAACGGGAGCAGTTCCTGTCCTGAATTATGTTCTTGAATAAATAGCCACACAGGCACATGCACATATACACACACACACATACACACATACCACCAGAGAAAACAACTAGACTTGGTTCTGGGGGCCATGAAAGAGCCTGACTTGTGGGAAGGGGAATAAAGAGGCATATTGTATGGGCTTCCATCAAATATAGAATTATAACAAAGACCAGGTCAGTTGATGCCCCAGGTAAACAGGAGTTTATCAGACAGCCCCAAAACCACTAATGTGAGACCTGTGCCCGTTGGAACCTGGCAGATTTACTGTAGTGCATGGGCCCCATGGAACGCCAATACCACCTGATTTATACACCCGTGCAAAAAATCTCCCTCTGTAGCTTTGGAGCCTGTAATTTATCACCGCTGTTCATAACCATATTGATTGTCTTTAGAAAGGAGGTGCTGTATGCATCGCAAAATCTATGTCTACATGTTAAAAGCGTTTCTGTATAAATCTCCCTTAATACTGTGCTGTTTACTGCTTTCATTAAGGTTATGGCAATAACAACTGTATCTCTAAGTAAATCGAAACATTATTTTTCTGCCCGCCTTAGCATGCTCGCGCTCGATAACTTGGATCTGGGGCCCAGAGCTGCTGAAGAAGGAGCCATACCACCTCTCTGCCATCAGCAGAACCTGCTTAGTACTGCATGTTCTCATGCACCTGTGTTGAGTGCATGCTGGTGTGTGTGTGTGTATTTCTGTGTGTGTGTGTCCGACTATGGTTTGGAATATGATTTTAAATGTGCATTTTATCAACCCTCGAGCTCCTACTGCCCAAGGATGGCAGGGCTGAAACACACAAGGGGCAGACAGATGTGGGCCCAGAATACGAATTTTCCTCCTTACATTAAGAGGATTGACTGGGTTGAGAAGCTGGCCTGCCTGTCCTTGTCTTCCCTTTAGTTGCAAGCATCCAGATGATGTTCAGGTTCTTTTCCTTAAATAATCAGGCCCGTAAACAAACTCCAGGGGCAGGCAGGCTCAGGGGGCAGTTGAAATTTTAAATGGTCGGAATTAAACCTCGTGTCAAATACAATTTATGTCCGGGCTCATGTGCTATTAGTTAACTGGGAGCCGAATCACGGGGGAACAAACAAACGGAGACAGAATGGCGGGGGATATTAATTGTGTGTGACAACCGGGCTCCTGCGGCCCTCTATCACTGTTACACACTATTACATTTATCATTAGCTCTCACAGAGTCCTTTGCACTGCTGCCAGCCCATTCTGGCCAGGGGAGGAGGTCTGCTAGACAAAAGAGTGGGGAGGAAACAAACTGCCATGCTAAAAAACAAACAAACAAAAAAACCCTCCAAAAACAACCCTGTCGAACTTGACAAAGGATCAGCCAGATCTACCCAGACTTGTATATCTGCATCCACTGTCCAGCTTCCACCCAGAAGAAGGGAAAAGAAGAGAGGATTGGATTTCCAGGGCCTCCCATCACCTGACAGCACCAACACAGATGCCAGCACCCCTCCCTGCCCAGGGTCCCCACAGGGAACAAAGTAAACACAACTGGCCATGTTTCCTTCCCCTGACACAGCAGAGTAGTCCATGATTAGCTGCCTGGATGCTTTCTCCAAACAAGCAGCTGTTTGATGTCCCTCACCTTCTACGTACCCTTGTCTGCCAAAGGAAGGTGGCAGACCTTAAACACAAAATATACCTGCTCTTTTCAGGCAGCTCAGGCTCTAAAACAGCCTGAGGATGTGGACAAATCCAGCCAGAACAGACTTTCCCCAGAGAAATAGGCCAAGGAGATGGTCACACTTGGTTTCTGGGGAGGGGAAGGCTGGAACTCAGGAAGGTAGACTGGGAGTACTGTCAAATGAGGCTAAGCATCCCTTCTCATGGAGACCCATCCCACCCACCAAAGGGTGTGAGGGCCAGCTTAGCCTTGCAGCACACCCTTCCCCTGATGATAGGTCAGCCGTGTTAGCATTAGAGACCAGCTAGAGAGGAGAGTGTGGTGAGGCTGTGTGTCCACATGCGGCATGCAGCAGGGGCTCCTGGGTTGGGGGATCCCCGTGTTAGGGGTGGTTAGACACCCGCCAGGAGAGGCAGAGAGCACATGCGCTCCAATCCTCACAGTTTATTCTTTCTTTTCTGATACTTTGTCACCATGTCCTGCAAACTGGAAACAGAAAAAAAATGGTGGGCAAGGGGACCAGAGGAAGCAGATGAAAAAAAATCAATGGGCAAACTGAGGTGGACCCTTCAGCTGAAGCCCCTTCTTCCCTCAGCAAGGGATGGCTCTGGCTGACTGAGACCAGTCAGTGGGTGAGTGATAGTATCCTCAGAAGTGGGACCTGGTACTCTTTTCCTACTCCAAAGGAATAGGCTCCCTGGGCTGCCCTAGACCTGCCTGCAGGATGGGGTCTGGCCCTGAGGTGGGAAGGGGGCAGATCTGGAGCCAGCCCAAGAAAGCCTCAGGGGGCTTCTCCAGGGCCTGGCCCCACCCCACACTGCTGGTCTTCTCACTTGGTGGCTTTCTCCTTACTCTAGGACTACAAATCTCTCCCCTCTCTCTCTTTCTCTCTCTCTCTCTCTCCTAAACCATTCCCTGGGTGGGTTTTATGAGAGAAATCTCTGGCATAGTAACAAGGCACCACAGCCTTTAAATCTTTGATCTCCCCAGAGTGGGGCAGGCGCCATCGGAAATGCAGCTAAACGGGGGAATAATTCATCTTGAACGGGCAGAGCTGCAGAGCCAGGTCCTCAGGAACCTAGGAAGGGATAAACAGGGAGGGCGCCTCACCCCTGGCACCTGGCCTCAGGCCGGGATCTAGGTCAGAGGCAGGCAGAAAAGGAAAAGGTATGTTGGTGGCTTGGTGATGGGGTGACAGAGGTTGCTCCTGTCACCTGGGTCTTGGTTCCAGAGTGGTCAAGAGGGCCTTTGTGCTGGCCACAATGCCACAGAGGCCAACCCTTACCTGTTGATGAGGTCCTCATTCTCATCACTCTCCATCTCATCTTCAATGGCAGCCTGCAGGTCCCCAATGCGTTTGAATGCCAGCTTCAGGTCAGCCTGCAGGCTTTGGTTAGCGGCCTCCAAACTCTCCAGATCCATCTCCTAGGAGGGGGTGGGCAGTCCAGTGTGCAGGAGGGCCACTCTCTCTCCAGATGCCCTGGAGAAGCCTGCAAGTCTCTCTTAGCCAGGCAAGAGCTACCTGGGTACTGCTTTAAGCCTCCAGAGGCTTCTCTGCTGCTGGGCTGGTGGGGCCTAGACTCACCTGATAGAAGACTCTTGTGTTACCTTGTCTCTCTAGCCTGTCCTGCGGATTGCTCTACTCTCCCACAAGCCCAGGGTGAGGTTTGCCCTCAGTGCTACTCAGGGGGTCTCCAAGCTTGGGGCCCATGGGAAATGGTGGGTTGGCAGGTGGGAATTACCAGCTCATGCTTCTTGCGGCTTGCCTCAGCTTCCTTCCTGGCAAGCTCACCCATCTCCTCCTTAGTGTCACGGAGCTGCCTCTGTAGTCTCTTGTTCTGCTCCTTTTCCCGGTTCTCAGCTGCAATGCGCTGATCCCGCTCCTCAGTTAGCTTCTCCATGTTTTCCTTGAGCCGGCTTGCCAGGCTCTGGGCAGGCAGGTGGGGAGAAAGACCTGCCCATCAGCCAGACAGAGGGGGCATGGCAGGGTTCTGGCTCTACCACTCTCAGCTACTGCTAACATGGGCAGGCAACTAAAGCCCTGCGGGTAGGGGTGGGGGGTTTCCTTTGTTCTTCTGTAAAATGGGGAGAATGACACCTCGCCCGCCCGAGGGTCTTCTAAGGACTGAATGAGGTAGTGAATGTGAATGTATTTTGGAAAAGTGCTTTGCAAGTGTGAAGCCCTGAATTCAAACCAAAAAAGAGGAAGAAGAAGAGGAGGAGGAGGAGGAGAAAGAGGAGAAGAGAGGGAGGGAAGGGGGAGAGAGGAAGGAAGGGAGAGAGGAAGGGGACAATAATAGAGAAAAATGAAGAAAAGGAGAAAAAGCAGTCAGGAAAGGTAGAAAGTGAGGAAAAAAGGGACTGTGAAAGGGAAAGGGAAAGGAGGAGTGAGCGGTGAGATGAGAAGACTTCAACACTTGGGGCAGTGGCGCCATCCGCTGAATATTTATGACCCTGCCAGAGAGCGAGTGGGGTGCGGGTGGGGGGAAGCTCGTGGTGGAGGAAAACATGAAGACGAAAAGCTAAGCTGCTCTGGTCCCTTGGCAGAAAGCAAGCACGGAAACAGAATGTAAAGCAGGCAGGCTCCACAGTGCCCAGAGAGCACGCCAGGCAGGTGGGAGGGGAGCCCCCGCCCCATCAGCTGGCCTGGCAGCTTGGCAGAGGCCTCTGAGGAATGTCCCTGGTCTGCACAGCCCTAAGGAGCATGCGTGGCTCCAGCTGCTGTGGCATCTCTGCCCTGCTCACAATGGACCAGGAGAAGTCAAACCCACCTCCAGCCGCTTCACTTGGGTCTTTTCGAATTCTAGGCGTGTCTCCAGCTCCCGGATCTTTGCTTCCTGCCTGCTCACCAGGGACTTGTCCACCATGGACTGCTCCAGGAACTCCACTTGGCTCTGCAGGGCTTGTAGCTGAGGGTGAGGGGGGAGCAAGGGAAAAAACAACTGAGTCCAGAAAGGGAGGGGGCAGAGTCTGGGGCAGGCGACATCACCATGGTGACCAGAAGGCTGAGGCAGGGAAGGATGCAGAGGAGGGTGGAAGGAGGGGCCCAAGCCAGAGGCCTCTTCCACCTGCCCCAGCACTTGGCATGGATCTTGCCCTTCAGAGAGAAATGAGAATGCTAAGGACCAGAGAGGGAATAGGAATGTGAAATGAGGCAGTCAAAGCCAAAATGTCTGCTATGGTGATGTGGCTCCAAGCCTAGCTCTTCTTGCTAGTTTACACTGCTCTGTGGCTTACTGACAGCAGAGAAAAGTACCTTCCATACTATGAATTTAGGGGTTCTCCCATTACCCTGCGATCTCTCTATCAAGGGAGGCCAAGGTACCCACCTTCTCCTGCTGCTCTTGCTTCTCCTTGTTGGCTTCTTCTAGCTGAGCTTGAAGATCATTCATCTGTGCCAGGTCCCGGGAGGCCTAGGAAAGGGGGTGAGAGCATAGGGCACAGGATTCCCTAAACACAAATCCAGAGCCCCATCCACACTGAGGGCTAAGACACCCTGGCTCCCACATCACTGTTCCCCAAAGGAGTGGCTGCACTTGGGACACATGAAGTGGCAAGAGGCCATGACCATGGGGGTGTGATAGGTCACTCCAGGCAGGGGTACCTGAGCCACGGCAGCCTTGTGTTTCTTCATCAGCTCATTCATGTCCTCCTGGTCCTCCTCCAGCCTGTTCTGGATCTCATTCTTCTCACGCTGAAGGCGGCTCAGCTGCTCCTCCAGCTGGACAGAGGCAGAGGCGGATCAGAGGGCATCAGGCCTGGTGTGTCTGCAGTCCAAACCTGTTTGTGTGCCACCACCTCTAGGTAGGGGTGGTGGTGGGGTGGGAAGATGATGATGGGCAGGCCCATCCACTAGAGAGGGTTCAGAGCCACAGATTCTTTGGGAGTTATCTGACATGTTCTGGGCAGGGAGATAAGAGACAGAGCCGATTGTGCAGGACAGGCAGACCCTGAGCTTCTGCACCAAATGAAAGCTGTTTTCTGGCAGCTTTTTCCAGGCTAATGAGGAGGCAAAAAAATTCTTGGCATATCAGCCTAGGTCCTGACCTGCAAGCACTCTGCCCATGTCAGGTATCAAGAAGGACCCCTCATGTGGGTGATGCCCCCTGGCTTAGATTTCATATCCCCTGGGATCTTCCACTCCTGGGCTATTCAGTTCCCCTCACCCCTCACGAGTCCACTCTTGGGGGGAGAGGAAGAGACAGGCAACAGCAGCTTCAGGAAATGAATGAATCTATTAGCCTGTAATTCCAAACCAAAATGACTGCGTTGGCTCCTTCTCTGTCCCATCCATCTTGTTACTGGGCTGTTGGGAGCTGGGGAAGCCTCTACCAAGAAATTTATTAACTTGGATTTAAATAAAATGGTAATTTTGTAACAGTCTTTTTTAACACAATTAAGGAATTTGAATCACTCACCTGAAAACTGCTGAGGAGCACAAATGTCACAAGGATAAATCAAGCCTGTGAGATTGGCATCTCTCGGCAGCAGGGTGACTAGCTAGGGGGCCATGAAGCCAACAGCCAAACCCATCCTCCTCCTTTGCCCCATTCCCGGCCAGAGGACGTACCCATGGCCTCATCCTAGTAGTGAATTCTCTACCGATGAATGGATGGGCCGTGGGAGAGGTGGGGAATTAAAAGGCAGGCATTAAATAAGAGCTCTAATTAGCCGCCACTTGGGCTTGTCAGTGGGCTGGGCAGAGGGAGGGGAGGGGGAGCCAAACCATGCTATCCTCTCATCGGCGCTTCTGCTAATCTCGAGGCACCTGTTTACAACCTTCAGCCACATTAATTGCCTTTATTTATGGTGCTGGGGCCTGCAGCCAAGCTCCTGCAGGCAGGTGGCTAAACAGGGAAATGGGTTTAGGCTGGCTCCCTTTTCCACAGGCCCTGCCCCCAAGCTTCTGCCCTAAGTGGGGAAAGGCAGAGGAGGGGAAATCGCTGTCTGTCCTGAAGAAAGCCCTAGTGTGAAGGGACCTTTTTGGGATGAAGGCAGCACTTATCATGGCTTTGTTCTCCCTTGGCTTCCCAGCCCTGCCATGAACACCCTGAACCCTCACCGCTGTCTTGGCTTTGGCGATGTCATCAATCTGCAGGTGCAGGTCTTCGATCTCTACCTCCATTGCTTTCCGTGCTTTTACAGCTGCTGCACAGGTGAATTCTGACTCCTCCAGCTGGACACAGAGCCAACCCCGTCCCGGGGAGAGACATCAGCTACTCCATGGGCAGGAGGGCTGTACAGGGCACTCACAGGGGAGAAGGAGCCCAGATGCTCTTTTCCTTCTACCCTCCTGTTCCTCCTTCTCCTCCTCCTCCCCTGTTCACTTCATACCCAGGGCCTGAGCCATGTTGTACGCATGCACTGGCCTCTATTCCAGTGAAAGGGATGGTGGGCACTGGGCCCCATCCACACCACCCTGGGGCTTGGCAGTCAGGCCATATAGCATACACAGACCCCAGGGAATCTGGCTGTTGCAAGTAGCTTCTCCCCACTTTCCTGTCACCTTCCTTCCCAAGTACTCAAGAGCCAGGGAAAGGAGCGAGGAGGAGGAGGAAGAGAACTGAACAAACCAGCTCCCTTGCCCTGAAGCCAGTGGCTTCTTTGGGGAAAAGCTACCTGATTCTTCAGCTGAGCAATCTCCCTCTTGCTGGGGGCATTGTTCTTCAGGTGATCCAACATGATCTGGGCATCTGCCAGCAGGGCCTTAGTGCGCTTCAGATCTTTCCGCAGCCGTTTCTCTGACTCCAAGTCCCTCTGGTTCACCTGGTAGACACCAGCAGTGGGGCTCTGGGCTCCAGTGCAGGGCCTCTTTCTGTTTTCCCTAAGCCCACTCCTCACCCTGGCCTCATTCTTAGACTCCCCCAAACAAGCAAGGATACTGGACATGCCAGGATCATACCAGCCAAGAAAGGTCTGGATGTGCAACATTTGGTGATGCCCTGAATGCCCCACAGTGTGAATGGTGGGTGCTACAGAGCATACCACTCCATTTCCAGCTTTCTGCCCCAAGGCCCCATCCTTAGGCTGGTATGGCAGGCAGTTGGGAGGCCTAGACAGAAGTGTGGTCCCATGTACCTGGTCACTGAGCGTGGCCAGCTTGCTTTCCAGCTCCCGTTTCTCCCGCAGTGCTTTCTGCTTGTCCTCATACTCTTCCTCGAGCTGTACCTCCATCTGTTTTAACTGGAGTGCCATGGGGACAGAGGCTCATTATCATTATCCCTTTAGCCCGGGGCCAGGCAGTCCCCTCCTCTGCTGGGTCTCTCACAGAGGACAGTGAGGCAGTGCTGAGCATGGCTGACACCAGAGGGGTTAGAGCTCAAATTCGAAATTCCTAAGGTTTCACAGAAGCTGGGAGTGGGAGGGGGATGGCAGGCCACTCAGTGGCCACTTGAATCATACAGAGTGCCAGGCTGGCTGACAGCAGGCAGCCCCAGAGCAGCACAAGTAAGCACAGAGTGGGGTGCTGTCTGGGGCAGAAGGTAGGGAGCAAAGTTCCTCAAGGGCCCAATCTTTTCTATAGACTCTGAGGGACACAGTCCAGCCCAGGCCAACGTCTTGACAAGAGATTTCTGATTCAGAATGGCAGTGGAAGAGACAGTAGTAGAAGCAGAAAAACAATGCCCCTCACTTTAAAATGGTGATGAGGGAACTGTAGTAAGTGTCCAGATGCCATACCTTCTTCTGACATGACTGCCGGGCCTCCTCCACCTCTTCATCCCGACTCTCCATCTCCTTGGAATGGGTCTGTCTCATCCGCTCCATCTCCATCTCGAGACGCAACTTGGCCTGGAGGAATTGGGAGTAGGGATTGGGTTCCTTTCCCAGAAGGGCCCTACCCTGATGTACAACTCTCCTGGGCTCAGAAGCAGAGAACATCTCCATTTACAATTCTCTTTGTTCACTTGCACTTTGCTCTCTGGCAGTCAGTTTTTCCAGAGAAGCCATACTCTCTTACTAGATGTCTGGCACAGACCCAGGGAGAGATTGCAGGGTGTGGGGATAACCGTGCACCTTTCCTCCTGGGCTTGCAGGTTCTAGCCCCCTGAACTGACTTGGTGGCTCAACCATAGGCTGGGGGTGCACTGTGCCCTCTGAGTCTCTCACCACTAGAGCTCATCCAAGATTTTTTTTTTTTGTGGAAAGCTCCATGAAAGCTTAGTTATTTGCACACTGTGGCTGGCTCAGATCAGGTGCTCACTTAACATTTTGTGAGTAGATGAATGAGTGAACAAGTGAATGAATGAATGAATGTGGACCTTGCCCTCCTTTGGCCCACACCCTGGTTTAGTGGTGGGGTCAGGAGTGCCTCCTGCCATGCCTTGTCCTTCCCTTGGCCAAGCCTCCAGCACCTGCTCCAGCATCTGGATGGTTCCCGCCTGCTCATCCAGCTCTTCTTCCTGATCCTTGACTTTGGCCTCCAGGTCCCGGAGTTGCTTTTTGACCTTGGCCAGAGACGCCTCGTCCTTGGACTCTTGGGAAGAAATGTCCTGTAGCTCAGCCTCCAGTGAAACAACCTTCTGGGTGAACCCTGCAATGTCCATGTCTTTTTCCTAGTGCAAGAGAGAAGACGAGGCTGGTACAGGGCTGGTCCCAGCCTGTGGAGGGGATGGGGCATGGGAGGTGGGTGGCCCCACACACCTCCATTTGCTGCTTCAGGCTGAAAGCCTCAGCCAAGAGCATGTCCTTCTCCCGCTGCAGCTTCTCCCTCTGCAGCTTCTCCCGCTGGGCCTCCTCATGTGCCTGTGAGAGTTCGCTGTCAAACCTGTGAGGGAGCATGGTAGACTCCTCAGGTATAGGCAGAATCCAGTTACCCAGTATATGGAGATTGCTAGGAAGTGATGCCACAGTTAAGGCCAGGACAGAAGCAGGGTTGGGAAGCTTACACAACCATATCTTGGGGCCAGTGGTGATGCAGGAGGGATGTTCAGGGTTTACAGGTCAGACTATTGAGGTCTTGCAGAACAGCCAGACCTGGATTGAGGGGCATTTCATTGAGTCAGCCCTTTACCAAGTAGGCCTAAGAGAGTCCTACATACTTCTCCTGGGAAAGAGGCAGATAGACTTCTCAGGAGATAGTCCTCAGTTTCTATTTCAATAGACCAAAGAATGAGGGCCAGAGCGAGGCAGAGTGGATGTTAGAATGGGTCGAGATGGGTATCCTGCCTTGTCCAACTCAGTCCCCACAGTTCAGCTCAGCAACTGTGGGTGGGGCACGTGCCTTTAGTCAGGACTACCTGACTCAGTAGTACCCAGGTCACCACCAGGACACCCCATGCCACGCTGGAAACCAGCATTCCCACCAGGCCCAGCTAGCAATGTGCTTCAATAGACACACAGTTGGGGGCCTTCTTTTTCACTCCTCCATTTCCCAGCCTCCATTTCCTGCCCAGTGACTCTAAATAAGGAGCAAATTGCTGAAATCCCTCTTAACACCTTCCCTGAATAGTTAATCAGGTTCCTGTGGAAATTGAACAGGGCCCTCCCCAAACTCTACATCAGAAAAAAGGTAAGAAAACTCCAGGCAGCTGAAACCTAATAAGTTGCCCAGCAGGGAGTGTAGCAACGCAGTAACTAGGCTGAGCTGGCACTGTCATTGGGGTGCTTAGAAGGGGGTCCTGATAGGGGTGCCAGCCTTTGTGTAAAAGGGCAGAATGGAGTAAAAGAACAGGGTAAGTGAATTACCATTGCTGGGCGGTGGGGGGGGGCAGGACCAGAAAACCTTCCTACTTCCTGTTGGTGTCCTGCAGTAGCCAGTGGGGAAGGTAGCAAGGAGTCAGGAAGACCCAGGGCAACCCCAGTTACTGGAAGGAGTGGGGGCTCTCCTCTGCACCCCTCATTTCCAGGATCATGGGATGGGACTGCTATTCACAAAGGCAGCTGGTACCAGGAGCCCTTCTCTACAGAGGGAAATGGGCACTGTTCCCATTCCCTAGGCACCCCGCTGTTCCCAGGGTGTGTGGGCTCCTCAGTGCTACCAATAAAGGCATCCCATCCCCATCCCCAACCAGGGAAATTAATTTAGATTGGATTTTCTCATGTGAGGGCTGCCCCACTCCTTCATGTCATTACCATAATGAGATGGAAGTGGCGCGGTAGTTTAACGACATTAGTCAGGAGAGTGTGTGTAGCTGAGGCAAGTGTGAGCTACACAGGCAGAGCTGGGGGTGGAGGTGGGCAAGAGGCAGGGGCAGTTCCTGCACAGGGCCTGGCTGATGCCCATTCTCACTGGGCCTGAGACAAGTGACAGGTACACACTGGACAGAGCATATCTGAGCAGCGGTCAGTCCTCCACTGGAAGTGAGGAGTGAGCCCTGTTCACATGACAGGATGAATGACCATGCAAGTAAGGTTCTTGGCCAAGTTCAGTCTCCCTTCTTTCATCCCTAGGAGCAGGAGGAAGCTCCTGCGTCTGCTCTAGAAGGCTAGCTGAGCCAGGGCAGAACCACCCACCTCCTCTGCTTCTTCTCTAGCTCATGGTTGCGGACCTGCTGGCCCTCCAGGTGCAGCTTGGTGTCCTGTAGCTCAGCTGTCAGCCGCTGGCACTTCTTCTTCAGCTGCTGCAGTGTCCGCTGGCTCTCATCACTATCTGCTTGCAGGTCTCCAAGCTAGAGGCCAAGATTGGGTACAAGGTCAGCAGCCCTTGAGAAGCCCAGAAGCACAGGTAGAGAAGGTAAGGAAAGGGAGGTATGGATGTGCATGCGTGAGGGGAAGACCCAGGGATGAGAGCAGAGATCAGGGCCATCCTGTGAACCTAAGATGTGATGCTCTAACAATAGTTTGCTGCTGGTTGTTCCTGAAGGACAGGCTAACATGCCAACCTTCCCTGTTCCTCCCAGGGCCTGCATGCCTCCAGCCATTCACTAGTCCAATACTTGGCACCAAGCCCCTACCATCCCAGGCACAGGTCTTGGCTCCTTGGCCAGTCTCACCCGCCTCTCCAGCTGCCTCTTGCTTTGCTGCTCTGCCTCTAGCTTGTCTTCCAACTCCTGCTGGAGCCGTTTCTTAGTGAAGTCCACTTCCCGCACAGCTCGCTCATACTTTAGTCGCCACTCACCTCCTGCAGGGTGTGGGGCAGACAAGGGAGGATGGAGGTGCTGAGTGTCTTCTATAAGGGGTAGAGTGGGAAGAGAGAGGCAGGAAGAAGCAGCAGGTGGAGCCAGTCAGATGGACTCAGAAAGATCTCTGGAATGATGGCTTCCTCCCAGGGCTGAAGGAGCCACTAGCAAGAGGAAAACTAAAGGGGTAATGTGCTGTCCTCTCCCTAGAGACTGCCAGGATCATGGCTCTCAGACATTGTCACTGTCATGGTTGTTAATCCCCTGCCTCTACTTTCTCATCTATTTTTTTCACTTCAGTCTTCTAACAGCCCACGGACAGGAGACAGGCATGGACAAGGGGTGTAATTACCCAGGGATAAGCATCAGGGTTGGTACTCAGGTTACTGTCCAGTTCCTCCACCTCAGACCCACCTGCATCATCATCATCTACTTCCCCATTGATCTCAGCTGCCCGGATGAGCCGGGCCTCCATCACCTCCATCTCCATCACCTCCATTTGCTTCTTCAGTGCATCATACTGGGTCTGCCGGAAAAGATAGTGAGTTATGTCTGTCATTCTACCCCTCACTAGTTCCACCCATGTCCCAAACCACAAAGACCACACGCTTACCCAGGGCAGATGGGGAAGATGGGCTAGTGGAGAAGATGCCAAGTGGCTTTGGGGGAGCAGATTGTGGCAGTCACTAGTCCGTGGTACTCACCCTGGCCCTGCACTCACCTGCAGCTCCTTCATCTCCTTCTCAGCTCGGAGCCTCTCTGCTGTCTCTGCGTCCAGCAGCTGGGAAGCGGACTCTCCAGTGTTACGTTCATCTGTCAGCTCCGATGTCAGCTCCGAGATCTGTGGTTGGGGGAGGGGATCACCACCAGTTGAAGTACCTGCCTCACTCAGCCAGAACATCAGGGGGACCTACATGGCCATGCAGAGCACACTGCAAAGGCGGGCCAGTCTATCTGGTGCCAGGAGTCACTCACCCGGGTCTCTAGCCGGTCACTGTTGAGCCGCAGCTCATTCCTCTCCTTCTCCACCTTCTCAAGCTTGCTCCGCAGCTGCTGGATCTCCTCCTAGCAGGGAGCAAGGAGGGCAAAGTGAGTGGGAGGGGCTTTGGGTCTGCACCCCTGTGGTTAACAAAGCTGATGAAACTCAGGCCAGGACACAACGGGGAGGCACTACCCCAACAAGACAATAGCCACCTCTGGGGGACTCCTGTCCCCAGACTCTTCCCCATAAGCTGAGGATGCCTGAAATTTTATTCTAAGAGGCTACTTAGGGGCCCAGACAGCACTCCAGAGGGATAGTTGCTTGGTGGCCCCCCAGCTCTCTCGAGTAAACAAAAGAGCACCTTAGAGCCCAAGACAAACCAACAAGGCCCTTGAACATGTGGATTTCTTCCCAGCAACCTGGCTACCCTGGGAGGTTACGCACGTCCTTGTTGCGGATCTGTTCCTCTGATAGCTGTACTTCAATGAGGGGCCGCACAGTGGTAAAGAGCTTCCACCAGGGCCAGTCCTTCACCCCTTTGTTCTTCTTGATGTTCTTCTGCACACAGCGAATGGCTAGGTCCTGGATCTGCAGTTGCCGTGGGATGGCACATGGTGGGCTCTCAGTCCCCATGGCCAAGCCCAGCCAGAAACCACCCCCCACAAGTAGCACAACCCCTGGGCCTGCTCCTCTGGCCCCTTGACCTCCTAGCCCCAAGTCATACACTTTCCATGCCTCACCCCACCTCCATGTTCCCACCTCCATGTTCCCACCTCCTGCCACTCCTCAGAGGGTAGGTGGCCCTAGGAGCACCACACTGGGCACTAACCATTCTACCATCATTAGGAATAATTTCATCTGCTTTATTTGCTGCCTTATTATATCCAGCAACCTGGCCTAGCTTGTGCTATAAAATCTAATCTTGCTGAAACACAAGAGGCGGCAGTGGTGGCTGTTTTATGGACTTGCTAATAAGAAAAGGAGTCACTGACACAGCTCCTTAATCTTCATGGAGCAGCCTATGATCCAGAGCCCACTTCTTCCTGGGCCCTGCATTCCCCCACCCATCCACACAGCCCCCCCGCCCCCAACTAGACCACATGACTCTGGTGCTGGACACACCAGCACGCTCTCCACCTTGGCCCAGTCATGGTACCCCTGGGAGGTTCCCACCTCCTCTCCCCAAATGATAACCAATACCCCACGATCTCCTGCCCCTGCATGTTCCCTTGTATGTCTCCTACCCCCAAGTACTCAGCTGTGTCTATCTGGGCTAAGGCATCCCTAGAGCAGTACCTTTCTCTTCTTGAAGTGCTGGCGGGCAAGGTAGCCCCTGCAGGCTGCCTGGAATAAGGTTAGGTGCCTGCTGGTTTGCTCATCCCGCTGTTCCTCCAGCCGTGCCAATGTGCCTGCCCGGAAGAACACCTGTGGAGGGAATCAGCCAGGTAAAAGCCTAAGACTGGGCTGGGGCAGTCCAGGGAGGAAAGAGAAGCAAGATGAAGAGCCCAAAAGACAAGCAGTTGGCACAAAGAGTGTAGCCCCTGATTTGGGAAGAGCCTGAAAATCCACTTGCCCAAGAGAGGAGGGGAGGAGCACTGGGAGGGCTCCAGGGAAGGGCCAGAGAGATTTTGGAAGAGGAGGAGCAAGGTGAGAAATCTAACTTAAAAAAGAGATCAAAGGCAGGGAAGCGAAAGGGAAGACACCAGGAGCAAAGAGGGAAATGAAGCAGTCATGGGTCAAACAGGGAGAGGATGCCCTTTAGCAACATCTGCAATGCTCCCCAGGTACTTCCAGCTACATTGTCAATGCCCTCTGTGCCACACAGCACTGTGGAGCCCAAACTCTGGTTCCAGGAAACTGGGATCAGGTGAAGAGGATGATGGGAGCTATCTGGGTGTGAGATGATCCAGGAAGCAGCGTGTGGAGGAAGAATGGGGAGTGGAGGTAGGAAGCTCCTGCCCTTCTCTTCTCGCTGTCCAGCTCAGTTTCATTCCAGCAGATCTCCTCTTTCATGTCAATGCTCCACCTCCCATCCCAGGTTTCACCCTCTCAGGAAGAAGCCAGTGAGGTGGGCGGGAGTTGGACCTGTCATACAGGTTTGGGGGCTGGAGGGCAGACAAGTGAGGAACCAGCTGGGCACCCCCATTCTCAATCCTTCCTATCACTCTTTGCTGCCTTGAGCTGGGGCCTAAAAGTTCTCTACTAAGAGGAGAGGGGGAGGAGTGCGCAGGTGAAAAGAAGACTCTGGTGTCCTTAAGAGAGGGCAAAGGGACAGTAGGTATATGGCCACCTGACACAAAACACGGAAAACTACCTTTTGTGGGACAGAGAAGATGGGAACTTAATAGGAAATAAAGGTTATATAAATGTACTCAGAGCTCATAGGTGCCGCATCCCAAGACCCCCTCCAAGTAAGAAGTGGGAGAAGGCTAAACTTACTGCTTAGAAAACTTTGCCTCTGATGACTCCACAGAAGCCTTGTCCCGAGACTGGCTTTGGAAAAGGCTAGTTCAGTCCTTTGTGGTGCTTCCCAAAGTCCCACAAGTGGGGCTGAGATCTCCCATGAGTCTCAAGCCTGACCTGAAGCTCAATTTTCTATAACGTATGAGCCTGAAATTCTACTGGGAGAGGAGATATCCAAGTCCCCCTCCCCCTGGAGGTGGGCAAACATACTTGGTTAGCACCCATAGCTATCTGACCAGGGTAGGAGGAGGGTGTCAGCGTGAGGACAGAATGGCCCAGCAACACAATGAGGATATTGGTCTTGGGGCTAGAGCAAAACCTCAAACCTCTTTGGAACATCTGTGGGGTTAAGGGTCCATTTGAGTATTAGGCGAAAGGTCAGGGCCATCCATCTCCGCCTCCAAATACCCATTCACACAACTTTACAGTGCCAGGAGGCTCTCAGACTCCCAAAATCCTCACCTGAACCCTCAGGGCCCTATGGGTTCAGATGAAGATCCCTCAAGGCTCCGAAGCACAGTGATGAACACAGAGAGTCCTCATTTACCAGCCAGCACTTAACCACAGCCTGCAAGACTGGAGCGTTTTCTCCTAAATGTGAACAAATATCCAACCTCATTCCCTCTCTGATCTTGAGCACCAGTGGGTCCTAGGGCTTACCTGCCTCAGCTGGGCATCTGGGAGGACACAGGATGGCAGATGGGCTGAGATAGTGGCCAGAAAAAGACCAGACTGTACAGGCCCACTCCTGCCTGAGATGTGTCTGGAACCTGGGAACTGGCTTGGAGGGGTGCTAACCTCCATTACCACCAGTCAGCAGTGGTCCTGCCTGCTTGAGGGGCAGAAGCCCACAAAAAAGCCAGAGTGTGAGCTATCCTGGGCGACACTGAACAGGAATATCTGACTATACCAGCCTCAGTAAGGAAGCCCAGTTGGCAGCTCCCATCTGTGGGTCGGGGAGGGTGGCCAGAGATAATGGAGGTGAGCCAGATACAAAAGTAGACAGAGCAGAGACCAGAACCAGAAAAGGATATCAAAAGAGGGCGAGACCACAATGTACACAGAACAAGGAGAGAAAGCGGGAAAAACAGGACCAACCAGAAGGCAAGGAACAGACGTCAACAACAACTGCAAGGGCCCAAGGAAAAGAGAAAGCCAACATGGCAGAGACAGGCATGGGAATATATAAAGACACAGGAGTAGAGAGAGGAAAGGGTTTCACAGTGAGGGAGGGACAGGAGAAACTAAGAGTGTGACTCAAAATGCAGAATACAGGATAAAGAACAGAGAGGATGAAAAAGTAATATGCAAGCTTTTTCTTGCAAGATTTCCTTTCACCTCACACTCACAAGGGGCCCTGGGGCCCGGAGTCCTTTCCCTCTCTGCTGACAGAAGGCCAGGCCCAGAACCCTTTCTCTGGCTTCTCCACTGCCCTCTCCCAACCCCAACCTTTGGACACATATGCAGATGCCGCCTGTTAAGCTTCTTAGTCTGGGGAGGGGATGTGCAGGGCTCCCTGGCTGGGAAGGACTGCTCAGCTGATATGCTTTGGCATGCAGTGATGTGGTGCACTGGCCAGGGCCAGGTGTGCCTGCCTTTTATGCACCACATTCCATTTAGATGAGGAATTGGGCCTGTGGGCAGATGGTGGTATTACAGCCTCACCATGTTCTTGCTTGCTCTTCTCTACCCTCTCAGCCTTAGATGACTCTCCACCAGAGGCTCTGTCCTCTGCAGCACTCTCCCTACTGCTTTTGGCTTCTTCTGGGCCACCTTGTCCAAACTGGGCCCTTCTGTCCCCTCACTCCCCACACAGGATGTAGGCCAAGTTCATGGCCACCTTCCAACCCACTCCCTCCTGAAATTACATAGGTGTTCATAGTATAGAATGAGCCAGTTATCCAGAGGGTAAGAAAGTCAAGTTTGCTGCAACTGGAACATCTACCTCCTAGCCCTGAAGAGGACAGAGTGCAAAGAGGACCAGCTCCTGAGTGGCTGAGGGAAGGCTGAGGAGCAAGACTCAGAAGTGGGGGAGCTGAGAGACTTTTGAAGTCTAACTGAGCAGGGAGAATAGGAGGATCAGTCATCTGACCAGGGTCACCAGGAAACAAGGACCCAACTGCCCTCCGATGGGCACTCACCCGGCTTAGACCCATGCAGCAGCTGCTCTTCTCCAGGTCCAAGGATTCCAGTAGCTCTTCCACTGCCTGAGGAAAAGAGGCATAGTCAGGAAGCCAGCCTGATGCCGCTCCATCTACAATCATTTGGTCCTCTCCTTGCCCCTCCCAGGAAGCCCATTATTTATTCCCATGAGCCCTTCTGGTGGGCTTCCACAGTATCAGACACAGCATTGACTTTGGGGAGCAGAGGTGACTACAAGAGGAACAAACTGTTCTGGAAACAAGTGAATTCATGAAATATGCAGAGGAGAGGCATCTAAGTGAGATGGGGAGAAGGGAAGGCATCTCCTGGAGGAGGTGCTATTTGGGCTCAGAATTTAGATACAAGTAAGAACCAGCTAAACAAAGGAGGGGAGAGGCATTTCAGGAAGAAGAACCAGCATGAGCAAATGCCCAGGAGCTCAAGGCAGCAGAGCGCATGGAAACTCCAAGTGCTCCCTGAAAACTGAAGTGAGGGGGAGGAGCCAGGGTGCAGCTAGAGAGGTAGGCAGTACCCACATGTGTGGAGCCCTGTGTGCCTTGGAAGCCATGCAGGGTTCTCTCAGAAAGGGACATGACCATATGTGAATCTCCAGAGGTCACTCCCTGAGGCAGAGAATATAAGAGAAAGAGCAGGTTTGGGAGGAGAGAAAATGAGTTTGGTTTGCTCATGCTGGTGTAAGAGGAAAGCAGGTAGAGAAGTCTAGCAGACAGCTAGATAGAAGTAAGTGCCTAGGGCTCAGGAGGAAGGCCTGTACTGAGATATTGATCTGAGAGTCATCAATATATATGTGGTAATTGAAGTGATAGGTGTGAATGAGGTCCAGGAAGAGGGAGTAGAATAGAAAACAGAGCCAGGAGAGTACTGAAGAGACCCCTTCAGTGAAGGCATGAGGGGAAGCAGAGATGCTCAGAGGGAGAGAGAAGAACATAGACAAGGGGGAGTGGTGAGCAGAAGGTAAGCAGAGAAAAGTAACAGAGCTGTCAGCAAAACCATGTGTTGTCAAGAATTCAAGGAACAGTTGGGCACTGGTGGCTTATGCATGTCATCCTAGCTACTTGGGAGCTAGAGATCAGGAAGATCATGGTTAGAAGCCAGTCCAGGCAAATAGTTTGGGAGACCCTATCTCAAAAATACTCAACACAAAATAGGGCTTGTGGAATGGCTCAAGTGGTAGAGCACCTGCCTAACAAGTGTGAAGCCCTGAGTTCAAACCCCTGTTTTGTCAAAAAAAAAAAAAAATCAAAGAACAGGATAAAAGAGTGTCCACTGGTTCTGGCAACATGGAGGGAATGGGGAAAACAGTCCCAGATACCTGAGTGGGGACCAGGCAGCTAAGGTGGAAGAATGAACAGCAGCCAGGGTGGAGGCTCAGGAGAGAAGTATCGATGGTCCAGAGCAGGAAAGAGGGCTCTTTCCAGATAGCACATCTGCAGAACAATTCTCCATAGAGAGAAAGGAGCCAGGAGAGGTTGAAGAAAAGACAGAAAATTACCATGGATTGAAGGGTCTCTGGGAGACTAGAAGAGAGGAATTCCAAGGCACAGAGGAAGGAATTACACAAGATGAGAGACACCAAGACAGGAGAGGTGTGGGGAGAAGGAGGAAGAGAAGTTTGAAGATGGTAAAAGAAGGTAGAGCCTTAATTTTATTAGAGTTTGGAGGCAAGGTCATCTTCTGGGAAGATGACCTGGGAAGGTGTGGTGGGGGAGGATTTGAGGAGAAAGACAGAATAGAATAGCAGGTAAGGAGTTGGGGTCCAAGCCAGATAAGGACGGGATATGTACAAGACCTGCTGGGTTAGCCCACCTAAGGCTGAAGACCATAAGCCAGTAGTAATTTAAGTTCACAATTGTATAATTTTCTACCACAACCCTTGGAAGTCCAAAATGAAGAATACTGCCACTCAAAAACTTGTCCTTTAGCGTGGGGGTATGGCAAGGCAGGTGCTATATGGGAGGCTCAGGATTGTTGAAAGTGATGAAGATCAAATGACTGGTGGGTTGGACTACAGTGTCAGGGTTGAGCAGAAGAAGAAGTAAAGTCAGAAAGGTATTGACAAAATTGAATGAAGTGGGGTCTAGAAATGAGCGATCCCAACAAAGCCAAAGAGCAGGTATCCTAAGAGGAAGGGAGGAGTGAGATCTACTAGTGGGATGCTGCAGTCAGAGAAAGCCATATGAGATTGTGGAGGTAGAACATTTCCAGGGGCAATGTGTAGCCATGAGTGGGAGGCTGGAACGGAGGTCAAGGGCCAGTGAGAAGGCGGTAAGGTGGGTCATATACGTCCACACCAGGATCTCTCAGAACATTAGAGGGCTGAGAATGGAGAGGTATTTGAGGCCTCCATGAATATGAGTTTGACTCATGGGCAAGGAGAGAGAGAACACAGGGAAAGGCTGGGCATCCCTGCGGGGCTTCCTGCCTCATTCTACTTTAGGAAAGCGTCCTGAGATGCCTTGAGTTAGGCTGGGGGCCTGAGTCCAGGGCATGGGGAAGGAAGGTTCCTCTGCTTAAGAAACCCTTTTGGCTGCATGAGGATCTGCCTCTGGGGGTCAAGGGGGCAGCCTAGAATGACAGAGATACCCCTTTTGCAGTCATGAATTTATCATCCTAGGCTGGAGCCTTACCCTCCCCCAGCACCAAGGATGACTTGTCATATCAACCTTCTTCCTAGGAGAGATGTTTGACCCTGCTGCAGAAGCCAGATCCTGCCACAGAGGCTAAGGCTGAGGGGGCCCAGGTAACATCAGTGGGGAACCCAAAACACTAGTCCTAATCAGCTACCTGGGAGGCCCTGGCCCTGCTTGCTCTTGGATAGTTGTCTGGTTTACAAGAGAAGAGATAACTCCAGCTCCAGATTCCAAAAAGGGTCACTCCTCTCCAGTTCCTATAGTCCGTGTCCTAGGTTGCCTTCTCCACACTGATACAGTATGATATCCCTGTCCTATCCCTGCTTGGCTGACACCAGGACCTTGAACAAAGGCCAGCCTGATGTCTCTAGGGGAGAAGGGCATATAGGTGTGGGGATGGCAGCTTGTCAGAGGGGTCTAAGTGAGGGTGAGGGGTTGTAGAGATCCTGAGGACTCAGACCTACCCGCTTCTCATCCACCACAATGTAGTTGCGCCCATGTTTCTTGGTCAGGTGTGGGGCCAGGACATCAAAACGGCGGCGGAACTCAGAAAACACCATGTGGTCAGGGTAACCTGGAGAGAGAGCAACCCAGAGCCAGGTCTGTCAACTACTTACTTGGTCCCAGCAGGCACCAATAGGCACTGGTGCTTAGCCAGGGAGTCACCTGAATGGGAAAGCACTGCAGGGTGGTGAGCCTGCAGTTAGGGCAGAACCAGAAAGGCCATAGGAAGGTGAGAGAGCACAGAGGACCATCAGGAATGCTACAGCAGGACAGGAAGGTTTAGGAAGGACCAGGCTCCTTTAGAAGGAAGCAAGCTCCCAGTTAGGTATGTGAATGAAGGGTGAGGTGGTTAGCTGACCACCTGGAAAGAAGGATGGGGGATCTGGGTGACCTCTGGGATGTTTTATAGCCCTCCAAGTATGACTGTAATATTAGAGACCAAAGCCCTGAGGACTCAAAACAGGGCCTCAGATTGTAGCTGAGGAAAAGTGCAAGGGATGGCGTTGAAATATGGGCCTTGCCACTAACGTGCCCTTGGCTCATTCCACTACTGACCTTCACTTTCTTCATATTTATATGTTTATTACTTATTTTTACAGTGCTAGGATTCAAACCCAGGACCTCACGCCAGCTAGGCAAACACTCTACCATTGAATCACACCCCAATCCTATCTTCACCTTGGCATTTATCTTGTATAGAAGTCATGTAGACTAAATGAGAAAATATACAGAAAATACAGTTGGCTCACTTGGTGTGCACTCCACGAAATGTTCCTTTCCTGTCCTCTGTACCCTGAAGTGGGACTGCAGAAAGGGATCCCTCCTGGTCCCATTCTGATCTTGAACTCTAGGCCGTATGTCCAAAAAAAAAAAACAAAACCAACCTTGTATATTCGAGTGGCTGGACTTGAGGTCAGGGGAAAGGTGCGATGGCTTCTGGCTTGGAGCAAAGTCAGAATAATGGCCAAGAGGAGATGACCCAAAGACATCCTAACCTCAACAGAGCCCATGGTGCAAAGCCAAAAGATCCACTCCTACAGTCACAGAATTTCAAATTGGAAATGGGATCCTAGACCAGATCTGGCTCATCTTTCAGCTAAGGAAAACCTGTGGCTAGGAGGAGGAGCAACAGGCTTGTCCAAGGTCATAGGCTGCAGCTGAGGCAGAGATGGACTTCGCACCTGGGCTACTGACAGCCAGCAGGGGGATGGCTCTGCCACGCTGGCCAGCCAGCTCTGGGAAACCCTCCAACTGGAAGATGAGGCTGATGCATGTGCCTGATAATTGAAACAGGAGGCAGGGGCTGCTGAGGGGCCAAGACAAAGTGAGTTATTGATTGTATCTGAATTGCAATTAAATTGATGGGCTGGGATAGCAGGTCTGGACGCCTGGCATCTTAATTAATCATCAGTGCTATCGATGGTGGCTGGGGGCCGTGGCAGGGGGAGGGGAGTTGCTGCTACTGGCCTCATCGATCTGCTTGTTTGAGTAAAGCACATTGATTTTGGTTCAGAGCGGTAACAATCTGGTTTTGAAATAATAAACACCAACTCCATATCAAGACGTGGCGACAGATCGATGATTTATTTAGAGCAGGGTAGGGAGTCCGTTTCCTGGCTTTAGCTGCCAAGAAAAAGTGACGGTGCCCATAAGGATACCTCAAGGGGACCTTACTGTGGATGTGTGGGACCCTGCCTGCTCTTCTAACTAAGAGAAAAAAAGCAGAAACCTGGAAACTCCTAACTTCTTGGGTAGGCAAAACCCTATTGGGAGAACTTTCTCTGGAGTCAGCCTGCCTGGGTGGAATACAACTCTGCCACTCATGAGCTGTGTGACCCTTAGGCATGCTACTCATTGTCTTTGAGCCTTGGTATCCTTACTTGGGAATGATAATAGTTCTTACCTCATGAGGTTATTGTGAGTTAATTTGTGCAGGAGTTGAGAACAGTGTCTAGTGATCTGTAAACGCTCTAAGGATGATTACTACTATTAGTGTCATCTCCTGTCCTCTCCTCTAGCAGGGTCCATAAAAAGGATCTGTCTGACCTTTCTTGGGAATTTTAAGTACTTCAGAGAGATTTAGCACCTGTTTTCCCCCTGGGCTGATGTCACTGAAAGGGCACTGGGTCTGCCGTGGGCAGCACTGATGTGTCTACACTAGGGATGAGGAACAAGAGGGAGCCGTGTGAATATATGGTGGGCATGGGGGTCAGGGAGGGGTGGGCAATGAAGAGGACTTGAATGAGGAAGAGAGAGAGAGAAAAAGTTGTAGGGTGGAAAGAACTGAAGAAAGAAACAGGTTGGACCGAGAAAGATGAGAAGACTACACATGGAGGCAACAAGGAGAGGAGGAGGGTGAGGAAGGAGTCCTAGGGCCAGTCCTGAGATCCCCTGGGTCCCATCTGGGGGATGGGTAGAGCGGGGCTGGTGTGGGAAGAGCACCAGGGGTTAAGGTGCCTACCTTGGCGGAACATGCGCATGGCATCGAGCAGGCGGGAGCCCCGGAGCTGGGCACGAAGCAGGGGCATATCAAGCTGCAAGAGCCCAGCCTCGCAGGGGTCTCCTGGAGGCAGGTCCAGCTCACTGCTGCTACTGACACGGCGAGAGGAGGCAGATCGGGGCTCCCCAGCCCAGCCTTCAGCTACAGGCAGGAAGCAGTGCACGAAGTGCATTTTGGACCTCTTGATGGTGTCAATGAGGGCATCCTGCCAACGAGGAAGGGACTCCCCTCAGTGGGCTCCAAAGACCCATGTTCAAAAAAGCAGGGACTGGTATTAGCATCTCCACTGTTCACAGGATTGCAGGTAGCCCACCAAAGGTCCAGACATGCTAAGCCTGGACAACTTTGCCCTCCCCAGGCCTGTCTAGCCACCCATAGGCAGCAGCACTAAAAAGGCAATGCCACCAGTGGTGCTCAAGGCAGGGTGGGAAGCTGGGTGGGCACTGGATGGCCTGGATGTGGCCACAGTACCTGTACATTAGCAGTAAGGAAGGAACCCAGGGGCTAGTTAGACACTTACCACCTGTAGCTTAATCTGGATGCACAGTGACTTCTTCTTGACAGCAGCCATGCCTGTGGTAAAGGTCTTCCGCATGCTGGTGGCCCTGCGCAGAGCTAGCTGTGAGCCGCCCTCTAGGCCAGCGATGGAACCTGAGAGCACTGTGACACTGCCCGCCCGGCCCAAAAACAGGTTGCTGATGATCTTTCTGTGGGAGGAAGGAGGGCAAAGAAGGGAGAGGAGTCACATTTACAGGATAGATATAGGCCATTCTTCCAGCTCCTAGGGTACCAAACCACCCCTGTACAGCTGTGGCTGGGGGCCTGAGTCATATGAGCTGGGGCAGCTTGTCCAACACTTTATAGAAAAACTGGGGAGCAATTTTTCAAACAGTAGAAAGAGAAAACCTAAGGTAGGCAGAAGCCAGAGGATAGGCAGGGATTGAGCAGAGGGCCAATCCATTCTTCTCCCTCACCAGGGATGGCAGAGGACAGGAAGGTTTCTAGTGCAGAGTTCACCATGTACTTATTATATTTACTGTTCACTATCTCTTTCCTGACCAAAATGCAAACTCCACAGGGCAGGGATTTGTGTTGTCTTCACTATCTGCCAAGCACCTACAAGTCTCTGTCATAGAGAAGGTGTTCAATATTCATCTATGGAACAAAGGAATGGGTGACAGGATTCATATGACTATGGGGTTTCTAAGGCTCCTCTGCTTCCTCTGAAGAACATGAGGGTGAAAACTAGGTGCTTCCAATCATGTCTGCTTCCCACCTCTATTCCTGGAGGCTATCTTATGCCCTCAAGGCCGTCTAGCCTTGGCTATTACCTCTCAGGGATTGGAGGCTATCTACTTTGCTGAGATGCCTCTGAGGCATCTCCAAGGGAAGAGAGCCCAGAGAACAGTTGTGGGGACAGGACACGGACAGAAGGAGTGATGTCCTTACTTTTGGGAATCCTGCAGGAGCCGGGGGACATTCTGAGTGGCTGGATTCTGCTTGGTGTAGCTCAGCCAGCCAGCCATGTTGTATTCCACCCAGTTGGTGCCATGACTGTGGCCCAGGAGAAAATGGTGTGGTTTGCTGCTGCGCAGAAGGGGGCTTTGGCCTGAGAGTGGATGAAGCAAGATTTGAATTGTCAGGACACAGGCACAAAGCCTAGGGACCCAGTGAGCCCCTCACAGAGTATCCCTTGGACCTATATAGGTGGTTCTTCTGGTGAGGAAGCAGAAGAGCTATCCTGCAGGGATGTCACCTACCTTTTTTATCCCCTTCCTGGGGGCCGTAATAAGAGAAAAGGCGCTCAAGGAGGGTGTCCTCAGTGGCCCCTGGCACCAGTGCCTCCTCTTCCAGCAGCCATAGCAAGCCTCTTGCCTCGTCTGCATGGGCCAGTGAGCGGACCTACGGAGGAGGGAAGAAATGCCACTTTGCCACGTGGAGCTGTGGGAAAGGAGCCTCCAGGCCTCAAATGCACACCTTAAGTACGCAAATGTACAAGCCACAGCTCTCACTGTTCACTGCTGACATCTTGTGGAGAAGGTAGATAACAAGGAGGAAGTAGCCTAGAAAGAATTCAGAGAGCTCACAGGGAAAGATGATTCCTGGTATTTGGGGAATACCAGCAGTAGAGACTGAGGCCTATTATGACCTAAGCCCATATGAGGCGCCATCCTTCTCCCCTCAGAGGGCACCAGGCACTTGGGTGAGCCCCTTATTGCCCTCGCTGCCTAAGATGGCAGGGATAAAGATCAACAGGTCTATGAGACCCTGTGGCCCAAAGGGAAGCTCTTAGTAAATGCCAGTTGGTGGGTTAACACTGGTTCCAGCAGCCAGATCACTGCAGGTGGGATCCCTGAAGGATCCAAACTGAAGGGCTAAAAGTGTGAGGCAGGTGACTTTATGGAGGTAGTAGCCAAAAGAAGTGGAGACTAGGGCAAGCCTGAGAGCAGGTGTCCCCATCTGAAGGGAATAACTGTCACTCAGCTGAAAATGACTGCTGTCCTGGAAGAACACAAACCTAGTGTTGATAAACCCTCTGGTTTTAAGAGAATTCTGTATTTTAATACCCCATGAAGGCCAACGAAAGTAGGCCTGTGGCCACATCTGTCCTAAAGGTACCTTTTCTATGCAATTCTCATACCTTCCTTGGGCAGGAAGAACTATCCACACCCCATTCTGGCCTGGCCCTTAGGTACTAGAAGATAAGAAAAATGAGAAAAGTGCTATTTTCCCTCCCTTTGACCCTAGCTACCCACATCTCCTCCCCATAGCTGCCCCCCAGGGAGTCAGTATGATTATCAGAAGGAAGCAGAAGGTAGCCAAGAACTGATGGGAAACTACAGTACTCTAGTGGCTGGAGGTGAATGGCAGGAAGGAGCAATGAAGCCACCAGATGGTAAGTGGCACAGAGGGGCCCCTTCCCCAGGAGTGTAGCTGCCCGATGCCAAGGCCGATTAAATAGCGGTTACCAAAAGGAAAGGAAGGCCGAGCTCCAACCATACACAAGTCTGACCCCCTGCTGCTCATGAGGCACATGTACAAGATCCTCCCACCTCCTGGGAATGGCAAAGGCTCTCAAGGGAGACCACCACAGGAGCCCAGGTGTCAGGAGAAGGAAATCCATCTTCCCTGGGGAGATGCGGTACTTGGGCACTTTAAGCATTTATCCCCAGAGGGATACTCACTCTTCCTGGGCCCCACTACTTGTGCTGGCCCAGCAGGGGGAGAGTGAGGCAGAGAAAGCTCAGCAGCCCAGCAAAAATGTCACTGTCCAATGCATTGTGTGCAAGTCCCCAAACTGAAGATGATCACCAAATGCTGAGTGTTCATCAGGCCAGGCAGTGCCCCAGGCAACAAAGTGCTAGAGTCATAAGTTCAAAAAGAGTGGCTGAGCACCCCCCACCACTACTCAGGTTGAGATGCAAGGGCTCACATTCATGGCTACACCCTCCCCAGGGTATTTTAAAGCTTGACACTGTTTCCCTGTTTGAGCAGAATGCTCAAACCTTCCCGAAGACAATGGGAGGGTATGACTATATCTTATGGGTCCAGGTCCTCACCCCACGCAGCAGACACCAGAGCTCCTGGCAGACATACCAGGGACTTAACCAGTAACCAAATAGAGCTTGAGCCTCAGGTGGTAAGAGAGGAGGGACATTGTCCTGCCTGGCTGGGACACCTGGACGTGGCACCACTGCATCAGGCATAAGAAAGTGACACCTTCCTGGACAGACTGTGAGTGCAAGGGGTAGAGCTCTACAGCTATGTGATGTTTGGTGTCTAGGCCTGACTATGGGGCCCTCCCTCAATCCACAGTGGCAGCCCCGGTAGCAACTTGAGTGAGGAAGGCTCTGTCAGAGGCAGAGGAGTGGTAGAGAGAGGCGAAGCTAACACAGATCTCCCTCACATTCCTACCAGGGACTGGTGGGAGGCCTGGTCCACAGCAGCCACCGAGTCATCTGCAGCTGGTTCCAAGTCATCAAATGCCACCTCAATGTTCTCCTAAGAAAGAAGGTGGAGAATTACTGATCATGGGGCCATACATGGGGATTCAGCCCTATAAGCAGGTCAGGCAAGGCCTCTGGGGACAGCAAGTCTAACCTCCTGTCTCATGCAAGTGATTCCTCCAGCATGCCAAAGGACAAACTGCTCACCGTCTCTCAAGGTAACACACTATTTGCAGATAGCTAAAATTCTCATACCCTCTTTTTACGCTAAGCCAAAGTCATATTGTCCTGTTACATCAGTTGATTAGGCAAACAAGCCTACTTTCAATTTCACACAGTCATCCTCAGAACACATGAAGACACTGTCACGCTCCTCCTGAGCTCATTCCACCCGCCTCCATGTGAAGATGGTGCCCCAAATAATCAACCGCCATCCTAACAGATCCGGGGAAAGGGACATGGGGGAGGTGGCCACTGGGCTCAGACACACCTGGAGGTGGGAAGTGCACTGTGGCATTCACAGGGCCTAGGAGAATGCCTTGATGAAGGGCATGGAGGGGCTCCCAGGGACCCTGCATGTGCCTCCAGCTTCCCCGCAAAGTAAGAATGCAGCCAAGGCAAAGGGACAGGACAACATTACCACTCCAGAAATTAGGGGAGGGCAGAAACGAAGAGCAAGTGGAGAGCTGAGAAGGAACTACTAGCAGGGAAGGTGGTACCTTCCCACATCCACAGAGGTCTTCCCTGGGAAACCAGAAGGTGAGGCAGGGTGGGAGCTACCTCCTTATATCTTTCCAACTCCTGCAAGAAGGTGCACTCGTGGAAAAGCCTCTGCAGCCGGTCCTGAGCGTAGTTGTGGCACAGCTCTTCGAAAGAGGCTCCGCGAGCTGATCCACCCTGCTCAGGGTTTTGGAAGCCTGGAGTGTCCACAATCATTATGGAGCAGAGCGAGTGCTGGCTAGACTTCAGAGCCCTTCATGGGAAGATCCTGGATCAGAGCTGGCCAGGGCACTACCAGAGGAAGCCCCACTGGGCAGCCGCGGCATGCAGTAAATTCCCATCCCTGTCCAAGTACCCAGAGCCCTGGTGGGGAGGGTGAGCCTCACCTTGCTCAAAGTCCACAGGGACAATGAACCCTCTGCTGGTGGAGAATGGCCCTGCCTCAGTCAACACACAAGCAGAAAGGCACCCCCCTGCCCATCCATCATTGCCAAAGCAGCAAGTGAGAGCCCCTGGGTTCCACCTAACACTCACCTGTTCACCAGGGAGACAAGAAGGGTAAAGAGCTCACTGTAGAGGCCAGATGCCATGCCCTCTAAGCACTCCAGAGCGCTCAGTTTGGGGCCTGTGGGGCAAGAGGACCAGCCAGGACAGAAGCATTAACCAGGAACATTACCTACCTACTTATAGTCAGCATGGAACTGAGCCTTCCCTCTCTGCTCCAATGGGAGCATCTATTCACACCACCAGCCCCTCCCATCTTCAGAATGGCAACAAGCCCCAGGTGAGGTCTCCCAAGCCCACCCACCAGCCATGGGGCTGCTGGGAGTACCTGTGCCTTCACCCAGGCTGCTCTCCTCAGGGCCCTGGCGGAAGGAGGTAGAGCGTTGCAGGGTACTGCCCTTGTGCTGGTGCTTGAAGATGGCCGAGGACAGCTCCTCCAGGCTGCATCCCAGCAAGTATGCAGCCTTCTGGGCCCACTCATGGCGGGCAAACTGCTTACGCCCAGCTGTGGGATAGAAAACAGGATCTGGCATCTTGAGTCTTTCTCCTTAGGGTGACTGATGACCACTATGCCTTTTGGCTCCCTATAGGACTAGGGAGCAGGCATCTCCTCGGGGTAAAACCCAGTCTGGTTGACACCACATAGGGTTCATGGGAACAGGGACAGACAGCACTTCCTGTGTCCCTTGGAAGAGGAAAGAATGGACATTTCCTAAAAAAAAAAAAAAAAAGCAGTAACTCCACAGGCTGCCACTAGAGGGCACCAAGTCAGTTGCAAAAAAAAAAAAAAAAAAATCCATTTAGTCCAGGGATGCCCAACTTGGGTTGGGAGAGGACAAAGTCAACTGATTAGAGGGGCCACCCAGGCTGAGCACAGGAGCCACTTGTGCTTGTGGGGGACGTAGTATGAGAGAGTACTAGCACCTGCCCCTTCCCTAGATGCATTAGGACCTCCATCTCTCCCTCCTCTTACCCCATGGGAGACTACAGACACCTCCAGGGCTCAGCAGTGGGGAGGCAAGAAAGCCACAGGGGAAAAGGAACAGCCCACACAGACATATGCGCCTCAGCCAACATGTGTCTAATCACAGCAATTAGGGAAAGCTAACAAGAAACAAGGTTTTACCTTCAGCAGCTTCTGTAAGGCAAAGGACCAGCATGCAGCATGCAAAGAAAAACAGTGTGTTAGCAAACAGTCATCAACTGAGCCCGCCAGGCCCTCGGGAAGGGACCATGCGGGGTGGGTGTTTATGAAGATAAGCAGGCAAGAACACACGACCTCATTCGGCCCTGGAGACACAAAAACACACAGTCTCAAAGGAAAAGATACTCTACCACTACCACTACCACACACACACACACACACACACACACAGCGCCACGGAAAATACTGGAAGCTCTAAGAAGGTAACCACATTGCTCAAAACTCAGAGAGCTCCACAGCAGAGTAGGATCAGAGCGAACCTGGGTTTGTATACCACAGAGAAAAAAACTCTCAAGACACAGCCACACATCTGCCCACCCTCCTACCCACAAGGTCTAGAGACAACTCTTTTAACCCAGAGCTGCTATTTCCTGGCACAGGTGCCACCTGCTGGGATCATAAAAGGATAGGCATCCAGGCCTTTTCCTCCATGCACCCACCACCTTCAGTGCTTCCCCAGGCTTGCTGTGCAGCCTGGGGCCCTTCACATCCTAGAGCCAACGCCCAAGGTGTTGTTCAGAGCCAGCATCCCCTTCTCCTAAACTAGGAGAAAGGGGTAAAGAGTCACCCTTCAATGCAATCTCAAAAACAGGCAACAGCCCTCCCAAGCTAGGAGTCCTAGCCAGCCACAAGCCCCAGAGCCCAAGTGCAGAAGCTGCAGCCCCATTCATTACCATGGTGCCTGCTGTCCTCTAGTGGCCTCTACCCTGACATGCAAAAGGAAGAGCCATGACTACCAAACCAGTAGAAGGAAAGACAAAGAAACTGGCCTCAGGAAGCCCCAGGGAGCAAACCCACCCTACTCCAAATGTGCCCCACTGAAGGCATCCTGAGAGTCTCCAGGATTTGGATGTAGAACTGACAGAAACAGCTATTCCAGTGACTCCAAGAAGCCCCACAGTCAGAAGGCTCCCTTTCCAACCTCAACCTGGGCTTCTCCCCAGACCAGTCCCCTGTGCTGACAGAATGATCCCAGTCCCCAGAGTGTTCAGGGAAACACCAAGACAGGGCAAGCAGCCCCTATACCCCAAGGCGGGCCAAGGTTAGTTACCCGCTTGTTCCTCAGGGGCCTCTGTCAGGAAGTGAACAAGAAGGAGAGTTATTCAAGGGCTGCTCGGAGTGCCATCCCTTCCCCTCAACCCCAAGCCCCAGCTGTTCACTCCTCACGACGCTCCCAGTCCTGCCAGCTAAGGCCAGCCTCCAGCCTTCACTGGTGGAGATGCCTCTCCAACCTGCTGCTCTGATGTGGGGGATTGAGAAGGGGTACAAGCAAAGAGGGATAGTTGAGTCTGTGCAGGGCAAGACCATACCACAAGAGGACAGGGCCCCTAAAAGGTCTCCTGGGTGACAAGGTGGGCTGCAGTTTACCTTTGGTGGCTCCTGCAGCCCCTAGGTGGTAGATAGCAGCCAGGATGAGCCAGAAGGCCTTCTGCTCATCAGGGGAGATGGTCAGCACCTTCATGGCTGCCTGCAGCTTACTGAACTGCTGAGCCGCCTTCTGCTTTTCTTCAGGCTACAGGGTGGACAGGCATGTTGTTGGCTCTAGCCCTCAGAGGAGCTTCCCTCCCAGCGTGTCCCCATACTGTTGGACCGCTGAAGAGGGAAGAGCTCAAGCAGAGCTACCCATGGGACACCACATGCCAGTTGAGGTTTTTCCTATCTGTAAGGTCGAGGGCAGCCAACCCTCCTACAGGGCCCTCACCTTGGCCAGTGGCACAATCCCAAACACGTTGTTCTCTGCCAAGTGGTTCAAGTGGAGCTCTGTCCTAGGGGTACAAGTGAGACATCAGTATGGGGCTTGGTCCCCAGGCCAAAGCCATCTCCCTCCCTTAGTGGAGACACTAAACACAGCTTTCAGACTCTGAGTTCTGTCTGCCCATCATCCCAATTGTCAGGCCTACCTTGCCACCTTTCCTAGTCTCTGTCACCCTTCCTAATTGGCCTGGATGCCTAGGCAGAGCACCAGCATCCCTAGGACAGGTCTCCAGAGAGAACTGTTTACCCCTGGGTCCAGCCAGACCCCTGGAAGGGAGCAGGGAGAGTCCAGCTAGGACAAACTGTGCCTCTGTTATGAGAAAAGAGAAAGACTATAATGCCTGGGGCTGCCTGCTCAGCCTTACCCTCTTTGTCCAGTAAACAGATAGCAAGTCTGAGGTATAATGGAAAAACATGGCAGAGACCAACAGGACAGGAGGACTAGCTGGAGGGCACAGGAAAAGATTTGGGTTCTTGGCCCAAGGTGGACTCAGCTCAGCCCATACGAGCTATGTGACTGTAAGAGAGTCACCTATCATCTGCCTCTGGGTGAGCTTTCTTTCCCAGAGCTGGCTTCCTAAGTAACAGAGATCCCAGGGAGGCACTAGGAACACCGAAGGATCAGTTGTGCCCCTCCCATATAACAAGGACCCAGTACCTGAGGCCAAGGAGTTCCTGGGCCTGAGTCTTGCCCACCTCACCACCCCCAGGGCCCAGCTCAGAGCCTAGTACACAGCAGGAAATGGGCACACGGCACAGTGGGCATTAAGGAGGTAAGGTCTAGGAGCCCAGTCAGTGGGCTAGAGTCCAGAGCCCCCTCAGTGCACCCTCTGTCCTGTCTCACCTAAGGGTTCCATCCCCACAGGCAAGCAGGTAGTAGAAGACGTTGAATGTGGCCTCACTGGCTGGGCGTCGGGCCACACGCAGCTTCTCCAGAAGCATCGTCTGCAGCACAGATGAAGTGAGGAAAGACATATGGGTAAGCTCCTCTTACCCCACAGCAGGAAAAACCAGGCCTTGATCCTCTAGGCCCTCGGACTGAGCAGCTTCATCTTACTCAAAGGTGCTCAGCCAGTGGCAGGGTCACCCCAAGGTCAAATGGGACAGAAACTAGAATCAGGTAAAAGAGAAGCCCATCCTGGAGAGGCCCTGCCACCCTGCCCAGAGCCTAGGTACCAGTCTTCCTGAGACTATGGAAGACTGTGGTGAGGAATTTCATTTAGCATAGGAGGGGATCAACTTTGGCTGAACCTAACTTTACCAACTAGCTGTCCTCTGCTAGTGACATCAATCTGAGAGAAGACCCTGAGCATGGATCTCAGAAACTGGGCACAGCTAGGTACCCACAGTACAATGAAGACAGCTCCAGAGCTGACAGGAAGCCTGGAGGACAGGATGGTGACACAGCGCAGGCCAGCCCCATCTGTACTGGGGTCCATTTAGTTAGGGCAGAATCCCAGGAAAATGAGGCACTTGAGAGAGACTGATTTCTAGGAGGTGAAACCAAGGGCCCATCTCTACTACCCAGACCTTGGCAGTGCCCCCTCACCTGAATGGAGGCTGAGGCCACTTGGCCAGCTTGGTCAAAGTCCAGGGAGAGGATCTGGGAGAAGCGAGTGGCATTGCCATTCATGATGGTTGGGCTGTTTCCAAAAGCTTCCAGGAGGGTATACAGAGCCTGCCACTTCTCCACTGCAGAACACAGGCCCAAAGGATATCAGGAAAGCCAGGGGCAGCCTACCCCAGCTGTGGGCTCCAGAGGCATGAAAGGTCACTCAGACAAGAACTGTCAGGGACAGAGGGGCTTCAAGGAGATAGAGAGGCTAGGGAGAAAAAGAGCTGGCACGAAGTAGAGTCCTCCCTCCCCACCTCCTCTCCTCACTCCATTCTTGGTTTTCCCTGTTGTCCCTGCCTCACCAGAAAACACCTTGTTCCCGCTGGTGCCTGCGATGGTAGCCAAGTATTGCACCAGATGTTGACAGCTGGTGGTCTTGCCACTGCCACTACTGCCCAGGAGGATGATGGACTGGTCTTGGCGGCTCATCAGCATTGCCCTATACGCAGTCTGGGCCACAGCATAGATGTGGGGTGCCATGTCCTCCCGCCGACACCCCTTGAACATGTGCATCACCTTGAGCAGGAGAGGGATGGAGGGAAGGAAGAGGCTTAGCTGGTCCAGCTGGACCTCATCTCTAGGGTCCAAATTTTTTTGGCCTTTCACTCCAGGGGTGAAAAGGACTCTGAGGCTGAGCCATATGAGGAAATGCAAATTCTAGCCAAGTCCTGATGTGGTTGCAGGAGGTCCTTCTGTCCCCACCCTCTGAATGATTCCTCTTCCCAAGGTCAATTGTGAGAGTGGACAGAGAGCCCACTCAGTAGCCCATTCAGTGGCCATGACTGTCAAAGGGGAAGGGCAGAGAGCCAGGGAAGGCGAGGTGGGTAGCAGGTTGGTGGATCTGTAAGTCAGCATAGTAGCCTAAACGGAGCCACACCTTCTCTGAGTACACAGCAGGGGCCCCACGGGGGCTGAGGACAAGCAGGTTGGGACCAGCATAGGTATGTTGCAGGCTAGCACCATAGCGCTGGCGCAGTGTGTGCAGAATGCTGGACTCATTGAGGTACACCAGTGAGGCCAGATCTTCTAGACGGTCACAGGAGGGAGCATTAGCCTAGGTGGAAGGACAGGCAGATAGATAATGAAGAAGCAGGCCTGCCCTGCCCGAACCCTCCCATTCCTTCCACCAGCCTCTGCCAACCTTCTCTACATCGTCCTCATCCACATCCAGGATGGTTCCATCATGGTCCAGCTTCACACGCACCTTCCCCTCAGGTAAGCTGAGCTCCTCTGATTTGAGTTGACTGGCTGCAGAGCAGGGTCACAGTGGGACATGGACCTGGGAAGCCTATGCTACCCTATTTAGGCCCTTCTTGGTCCTGTCTTTCTTCCCATTGGATCACTAGCTTCTCTTTGCTCACCACAGTCCTCACAGGACACAGCAAGCGGCACACTGATGCCAGCCCTGAGTCCAGAGTCCCAACATTTGTACCCAACCACCTGAGACTCACCTAGGGAGAAGCCATCCTTATGGACCAGCCACACCTTCTCGGTCTCATACCAGGCCTCTTCAGCTGCAATCTGCTCTTCTGTCTTGGCCTATTAGAGGGAGTGGAAGAATAAACAGTCAGAGCCTGCTCTGGAAGACAGAGAAGAGAAGTGAGGGGAAGGATTTCAAGATGAGCCACTGGGCAAGGGGAGCAGTTAGGTGGCAGACACAAAACACAGGGACATCAGAGGTGTCAGGGAAGGAAGATGGGGAATCCAGGAGGCAGCAGTAGTTCCAAGGGGCCCTGGACAAAGACAACACAGCTAAGGACCATACCAGCATTAAGGGTCTGAAAGGATAGGGACACAGGCAGCATGTGCCCAAGAGAAAGCAGGCCCCAGGAAAGAAAGTCACCAGATTTACCTCCAGCTGTCCTCTGCCCTTCCTCCCTGCCAAACCTGTGGGATCAATATCCTGAACCCTGGGCTGGGCCACAGGCATGGGCTCTTTCATACCAAATGATAAGCCTCCTCCACCTAGCTAAAAAAAGGCCATTTCCAGACCCACGGGGTGTAATTCCATACTCTGCAATATGAATGATATGTAGGCCCTAAACTCTGGTCTCTGACACTCTGTGGGCAAGGGGAAAGTGTCCACATACACATGCCAACCTCCCTGCTCCTCCTCCATGCCACATTCAGCACAGGCCTGTTTGGAAGGTGGCAGTTACACAGACCTAGGGGACACATTAGTGCCACACAAGGGCACAAGGCAGCATGGCCAGATATGTGGGGGAGAGGACAGCACTGCTTTGCTGAACACAGGGAGGGACTTGCATACTACATAGAAGGGAACAGGAATGGGTGTGTAGGGGCTGGCAGCGCCCAGATGGTCACCAATTAGAAATAAGCATTCATAAGCACTGTTAAGTTGTGGGGCTACCAACTCTGGCACTCCCTTAGGACACTTGAGTTGGGAAGCAATGGTGCTGGGAAAGCTGGGACAAGAGGGCCCCAGATCCTATGGTCTGTCAGCTCCTGTGTTATTTATGGGTACAATAACATCAAGGCCACCTGGTAGCCACTGGAAGGCAGTGTGGCCACCCCACAGGCACAGACCAGCCCTCCAGCTAGCACTGACCTCCCTATACTGTCTGAGGGTCCCCAACTAGGAGTCTGCCAGAGTTCCTTATCCTAGGCATCTGTTTCTCATGGGACCTGAGGCCAAGGCATGGACACTGGATGAGGGATCAGTAAAGGATAAAAACACATCATCAGAAGGACTGTATGTCCTATAGGACATACATGGGTTGGAGGCATCATTCAAGTGGCAGAGTGCCAGCCTAGCAAATGTGAGGCTAAGTTCAAACCCCAGTACTGCACAAATAAATAAATTCAGTAAACCTTTTTTTTTTTAAAGAAGTACTATATGTAACACTTCTTGGAGTTCACCGAAAAGGAGAACTGGGTCCTATTCCCAGATTGGATTCTGGTTTCTGATAAACCCCTTATGGAATGGCCGGCCCTTTCCCCAGCTATGGAGTGAGAGGGTGGACCATACCAGTGTCTCCCAGACCTCTGGATTCCATGGATCAGGGAAACTATCCTTCAATAGGATAATCACAACGGGGCTATCAATGTTTTGATTTGTTAAGGAAAGAACATTTTAAAAGGCTAGTTTTTTATATTTAAAGAAATGTGACTGAGGCCAGGCATGGTGGTACACACCTGTAATCATAGCACTCAGGAAGTTGAAGCAGGAGGATGGCAAGTTTGAGGCTAGCCTGGGCTACATTAAGAAAGAAAAGAGGGAAGGAGGGAGGAAGAGTGGAAAGAAAGAAAAAGAAAGAGAGAGGAAGGAAAGAAGGAAGGGAGGAAGGGAGAAAGAAAAGTGTAACTTTATTAAAAAGTAACTGCAGCCAGGCGCTGGTGGTTCACACCTATAATCCTAGCTACTCAGAAGGCAGAGATCAGAAGGCTCATGGTTTGAAGCCAGCCTCAGGCAAACAGTTTGCAAGACCCTATCCCAAAAAAAACCCATCATAAAAAAAGGGTGGAGAGGCTGTTGGAGTGGCTCAAGCATTAAGAGCAACTGCCTAGCAAGCATAAGGCCTTGAGTTCAAATCCCAGTGCTGCATTAAAAAAAAAAAAAAAAAAAAAAGGGCATATTCTGTGGACTAGATGTTGGAGGTGACATCAAAGGGTCATAGCTTGCCAGTTAACTTCTTTAGAGCTAATCTGAGAATAGGTTCCTCTCAGTGGCCAGGAGGTGGAGACAAAGATCATCTCATCTTCAGGCCTGAGCCAGGGAGAGGAAGGGAATGGCCTTTTTGGCTTTTTCTACCCAGAATGAGCTGGGCTGCAAAACACAGAACTCAACTGGCTCTTGGGCTCCAATGGCTGAGACCCATGTGAGACCAAACAATCAGTGACGCTTCCCCAAGAGCCTAGCATAGAGCTGCACTGTCTTAGCTCCTGGCACTGCCTCCTCTGCGGGTGCCCCCCCCAACACAGGGTGGAATCCTGGAGGGGAAAGAGGCCTTACACTCCAGCATGAGGCCCGAGCACAGACGCCAGCCCAGGTACAGGCCAGGGGCGGTGGGTGGTCACCAGAAGAAGTGGAGGGCTCCTGAGGGGGGCAGGAGCACCCTACCTGGCTGTGGGCAGGAGAGGCGGCCTCAGGGTCCAGCTGCCGGCAGCAAGGAAAGAAGAGAGAGAAGAAGAAGAGTAAAGACAAGCAGATACTGGCATATACCCTTTAGCAAGCAGCCCCAGGCCAATGGGCCAGGCAGAACTGTACACATCAAGGACAGGCCAGACCAGGAAGATAAAGAGATACTTATTATCACTTGACCCCCCAGTGGAGAGACTCTTGGGAGTCATTTGCTGTGGCAAGGCCACTCTGCCTCTGATTCAATCAGTCCATTCTGAGTTAGGCTCCCTTTTCTGTGTGTGTGCCAAGCCAGGTCACCTCACCACACCCAGGGCCTAGGCCCTCTGAGATCCTCCTGTCTTATCTCCAGGGTACTCCTCAGTCCATCTCCCCTGTGGCCTCTGAACACCAGCGCAACTGTTCCTCGCCTTCAAACACATGCCAAGGGGGTGCCACTTCCCATACCAAGGGCTGTCTTTCAGAGCTGTTACCCCTGTGTCTCTCAAGCAGCCTGTCTATGACACCTTCCTCAGGCCCCCCCATTGTACCCCTATCCCACTCCTGCCACTCCCAAGCAGGCACAATGGCCCCATGGCATCACCCCACCCAACTGCCACCTGTCAACTGCACAAGGGTACTGTGGACAGACCCTGGGGCCAGCTTTGACCTCCCAGTCTCTGGTTACTTAAAGCCCTGAAAGGCCTTTCTGGGAGGAAAGGGAGCCTGTTAGAAATGGGTTAGAGAGTTTTCTCTTCAACAAAATCGGAGAACAAGAGGGTGGAAAAGGTTCTGCCCAGAAGTGGGGGACGGGGGGCTGGGGGGCATGGAAGGTGGCCCAAATAATGTATACACATGTAAGTAAATATAAAAATGGTAAAATAAAATTAAAATTACAAATTGGGTAAGAGATAATAGGCCCTCCTGGGTCTAGAGAGCTGAGGTATCAAAACAGGCCTTGCCACCCACTAGGCCCTGGTACCAATACATGTCCTCAAGGCAGGAGAATAAGGCCAGAGAACAGGACTGGATTCTCAGTCAGGAAGGGCACCACCCATGTGCACAGGGCTCTGGGCTTCTCTAGAGGAACAATCCTTCACAGAGCCCTTATCTCCTTCTTCTAAGCGTAGAGCCAGTGTAGGGGTCCCTGGACTGCCATGGAGCCTGCCTTCCACAGTCAAGTGCTCCTATACACAGACACAGCCCAGCCACCAACTTAGTAAGTGGAGGACCAGGGACTAGGGACCCGCACACTGGAGCAGTGGCATTACAGAAGCTGTGAAGATCCTCTCAAGCCGTTGGTGTGCCTCCTCCGCGGGGCTCAGCTGGACTTCGGGGGCAGCTCCTACCTAAAGGTTAAACTACTATTAGTCATGGCCCAGGGAATGGTGGGGGCATTGCAAGCTAAGCACCCAGCGCAGGAAGCCACTGGAACCCAAGGGGGAAGTGGAGCAAGGTGAGGAGGGAGTCAAGTCAGACACCAATTTGAGTTTTCATGGTATCATATGAGAAAAGGGAACAGATGCCTGTGAGGGTCCATCCTAACCATCATGAGTACCAAATGGCCTGTTATCCCATTTGCCCTTCTGGCCCCTACCCCAGACCCAGGTGGAAGGTGACTGTACATGTCAGGACATGCCTCAGCACCTAACTCCATCCCAGTGATAAGAAGAGGGACAGGGAGCCAGAGGGCAATGGCCCAGGATGGGCACATGACACTTGCTGACTACTTATAGGCGCTACTGAGGGACTAAAATTGAGATCCTACCTTGCCCATTGGGCCAGAATGCCCCTGCCAATTTCTGTGTGCCAGGAACAGTAATTGTGCCAACTCAAAGAGGTCTCAGAGGGTGAGGAGAGTGGCAGCTAGCTTTTCTTGAAGTCCTTCAGTGCCCAGGAAGAATGGGGAGTGAGGCAGCTTCCAAGAACCCTGGCTCCCAGGAGGAAGCAGTCAGCAAGGGCCTCAAAAAAACCTCTGAGCATTCTCCTGAGTCCTTTCCTAGCCACAAGGAGCACAGGGAAGCAGGGTGAAAGTTGATGCCACCCCAGAAACCCTATGAAGGCTCAGCAAGTTCACAAAATAATAGAGAAGTTTGAAAAGAACTGTCCCCAACTCGAGGACCAGCGAAACAGACATCACCTTCCCAGAGGAAGAGCTGGACTGATGTCCTTGGTCCCTGCCTCTCAGTCTCTTGTCACATCCAGAGGGCACTTCCTGGGAAGACAGATAAAAGGGACTCACTGCACCTGCTTGCCACCTAATTAGAGCACTCCTCAACAGTCCTGCTGCCAGAGGAGACAAGCAAGCCAGGTCTGAAGAAAGTTGTGATGGTATTAATAACAACTGTCATTAGTATCTTTATCAACACTCCCATATGTAGCCCTCTGTGCCAGGGACCTGCCTTAGCATGTTACCTGCATCATTTTTAAATCTTCACAGCAACTCTTAAAAGCAAGTATTACTCCTTATTTGTAATCCCAAAAGCCACAGAGTCTCCTTAAGCAAAAAATTTTTCTTGGGCTAAATGTATGGCTCAAGTAGCAGAGCACTTGCCTAGCAGGCAAGAGACTCTTGAGTTCAAATCCCAGTATGGCCCCAAAAAATTTTTATTAACTATTTTGGTGGCAAAATAGTTACTCCTCTATCTTCCTGCAGTGTGAAAATTCATGGATTTGCTTTGGGGCTATTCATGTGTTTGTTACAGGTTGCTGCCTATTATGTATACTGTATGACATTATCAAATATGAAAATTACTAATCTCCCAAAATACTTTCTGGCCCCAGGGCTTCTGAGAAGGAATTGTGGACCTGTATTATCTTCACTTGACAGAGGTTCAGAGACAGACCTTGCTGAGGTCTCAGGAGGGTGAGCAGTTGAGGATGGGAGCCCAGGCCACTGACTTGAGGAAACACTGTTTCCACTCAGCACTGATCCTCTCCTTAGGATCTGGGGCCTCAGGCTGGCACTGTGTAGCTGGGGATGAGGCCCTGACTCCCATGGCAAGGCTGACAGCATGCTGGTTAGTAGTTCCCACCCCAGCCACCAGGCCAGCCTGGGTTCCAGCATTTGGTTAAGGAAAGCCATGCAGCCCCTGCCATAGGCATGTGGCCCTGGGCCAGCCTCTGCCATGTGACGCTCCTTGAGGCTTGTGGAGGCCAGGCAGCAAATGTGCTTAGCCCTTAAGCAAGAGTAAGGAGGGGCATGGGAAGTTAGTGTCACACTCTGGTACCTCCTGCTGCATGCCAGGGGCCAGTGACTTGGCCTGCTGCTCTCCAGCAAGGTTCGGCTTCAGGCCAGCAGAGCCTGGGTCCACCAGCTCTCTCTGTGGGACTGAGGAGTACTGCTTTTCTGGGGTTTCAGGCTTGGCTGGAGATCCTTCTTTTTCTGGGGAGTCCACCCTGTCTGGGAAGCCTGGTTTCCCCAACGAGCCTGTTTCTTGGCTGGGAGGTTTCTCCTTCCCAGGAGATTGCTTGCCACGAGGCTTGTGGTCTTTGCCTCGGCCCCGTGACATCAGGCTTCGCAGGCCTATTGAGAGCTCATCCTTGGCTGCCTCCTTCTTTGTTTGTGGCTTTGGTGGAGCAGGGGGAGGAGGAGGCGGTGGAGGTGGCTTGGGACTAGAGGCTGCCTTTTCTCCTCTCTTGCCTCGAGCTGGGTGCTCAGGGGACTTGGCTCCTCGGCCTGGAGGCTCTTTGGCACTCCCAGGCTCCTCACCAGGCAGCACCTTGCTCACCACCTTCCTCACTGCATTTGCCACCTGCTTCCGGGACAGGCCCTGGGCCTCCTCACTTGGGCCCTTTGCTGAGGCAGCCCCCAGGCCATTCATGGTGAGTGTGGGTGCAGGACTCTTGGCTCGCTGGGAAGACTCTGAGGGTACTGGGCTGGTGGCAGGTTGAGGACTCCTAGATGGACCACCGCCGTCCTTGGAGCTGCCCTCTAGCTACAGTCACACAAATACAGGTAGAAGTTAGCATCAACCCTGTATCCCTGTCCACCCCATGCACAGGACATAAGAGCGTGTAACCTCAGGCCCAGGCACAAATCTTCCATTCATTCATCAACTAATACATAGAGACCATCCAGGGAAGTCCTCTCTCTACCTTCCACATAGGACAACTGCATCAAAGATTTAGCTTCCCTTTCTCAAGAGCACACCTGCCTTCTATCCCCAGGGTAAGCATAGAACTGGGAGACACCAGCACACAGCATACTCTCAGAGGCCTGTGAGTACCCCCAGAGTTACTGGCTTTATGTCAGGGTGGCAACCAAGACCCAGTCCAACCTAATCACACTCCCTCACAGCTAACACACAGCAGAGCTGGATGGAGAAGTCAAAAGTCAATTCCTACCACCAATCCAAGGCCTAACTCCAAGGTTTCCTGCCTTTGTAGTCCCTCAGCTTTCTAGACAGTCAGACCCAGAGCTTGCCCACCCTGAAAAAAGCAATGGACAGGGTGCTCTTCCTGGCTCCAAGATCAAGCTTCCACACCCTAAGTCCTCTGGTCTGTGACCACTGTCTCCCCTTCACCTACACTCTCATAGGCTGCAGAGGTCCAGTGCTGATCCAGCAAGCTCTCAGTTCAGCCTGCTTTCTGCCAGTCTCTTTGTAGTTTCTTCCCTATAAATCACAAGGGTTTGGAGACCTCTTAGCTTCCAGAGAGCATGTAAGAAATGATTAGAGAAAGAAGAGGAAGCTCTGGCCCACAAAAGGTTAAGCACCCAAGTTGACCCAAAGGTCAACTTGAGCAGGGTCTCTGGAGGAGCAGAGAGGCCCTGGTTCAGCCAGCCTACCAGCTTCTGAGCAACTAGGATGCTGAAGGATGCTGGCACACTCCACCTGGGGTACCCACCCTTCCCCCACACTCTACTGGGAACTATCTGAGGTCATAAGAAACTGCCACTGGGAAGGCCACGCTGGCAAATGGCAGGGCAGAGTTTCCTGCAAAGCCAGCCACAATGCCTGGAGGACAAGGTCAACTCAGGAGCTCACTTGCAAAGCCAGCCATATTGCCTGGAGAACAAGGTCAACCCAGGAGCTCCTTGCTGGCCAGACACTATCCTGCAGTGCTTGAATCCATGTTCCCCCAAATAATGATCATGTTCTAGATTACACCTAAGCAGTTGACTCTGTGAAGGTCTGGCCACCATGTCTGTCTGCACACAGGAAGATCCTCACAGAGTGACAGACCTGGGAGCTGCTGTCTCTGCCTGCTGTGTGCACAGGGCACTCCATATCCTGAGCAGAGCTGAGCCTGCACTGGGGGGAGGCTCTGCTGCAGGAGTGGAGAGGGAGGGCTTGAAAGTGACTCTACTTCAGTCTTTTAGGCCAATAGTGCTCACTGTCATGCCAAGGCACTGCAGAGCTGGCCATGGCCTTAACTGGGGGTCTTGCTCCCTCCCCCTCTCTCTTCTGGCTTTCCTCCCACCCCACCTAACTGAAAATGATGACATGACAGTAATTGCTAACACTTACACAGTACTTCTGTCTGCCAGGCACTCTTCTGAGCACTTTACATATAATTTTTGCAAAAAAAAAAAAAAAAAAAAAATCTGGGTTCCTCCCTTGTGTATCTCAAACACATCCCTTTGAAATCACAGGCTGGCCTTGCAGAATGGTTTATAGATCCGGAGGAAGCCACAAGCCTGGCTAATCAAATCATCCAAGGAAATAGGGGCAGCCAGGACAGTCACCATCTGGGGTAATAAAGCATGGGCCTGTTGTGTGTTCCAGAGTCCTGGCACATCCGCCCCTGTACTAACTGCAGCCCTCTCTGGACCTAGCTGGTCAGGAACTGTCTCTCTCCCCTTGCCTTAGAAGAGTCCAGCTTTATTCAGGGTCTCTATTCCAAGGCGGGGCGGGGGGGTAGGGTAGGGGGTTGGGGATGGTGCTGGGAGTAGTGGGCAGCTATGACCCACCTCCAGGTCCAGGTCATACATAAAGCAGATGACAGAGTGCTGGAAGAGACAGCAGCAGCTGCAGTGAATCTCTCTGTGCCCTTGTCTTGTGCCACCCAGTACAGGCTGAAGAGACCCAACAGCTGAGCTCTCTGTTGGTACTTCCTAAGGGTTTGTCCACTTTTGCTTCTCCTGCCCCATAAAGTCCAGGAAACCAGAACTAAAGGTAGGCAACTAAAGGGGGATGGGGGAGGTTATAGGGTGGTCACTTGTCTGTCCCATCTCCTTCATACATGAGCTGGCACCACACATGCTGCACTTTTTACCCTTTACAGGTATTCCCTCCAGCCATGTCACACAGGAAGGGGCCCAGGATCCCTGCCTACTCAACGGAACTGCCTCATAGATCAGTCTAGGGTTGACAGCAATGGGGCAAGGCCAACCTACTGGGATGGACACACACACACACACACACACACACACACACACACGCACACAGGTCTCAGAGAAGCACTTACAGCCCCTTCCTCCTTGCCAGGAGGGCCAGGCTTTGGCAGAGTTTTGTCCTCCTCTTTAACCTAAGGGAGTAGACAAAGAAGTCACTGACAGATCAAGAACAGGAGAACAGTATCAAAAGTCCATTTAAGGGGCTTCTCTTTCCCTGAGAGGCAGATTTCCTGAATTTTCAGTAGTACCAGGGCTAGGGACCTGCAAAAGATTTCCTTTCCTCGGACCAAAACTGCCCAGGGGCAACTTCAAAAATGAAGAGTAGAGGTGAAACCCCCAGTACCCTGGGGCTCAGCAGCCAACTACTTTGCCCACTGGGATTGTCTGAAGAGGTCCACCCTCAGGCATGGTCTTTGTTACACATAGAAGACTGAAAGATTTAGCCAACTCAACTCCTGATGAACTGTAAGAGTCATTCCCATTTGGATAAGAAGTGTTTTGAACAAAAGGCCCCTGACCTACTTACTGAGGAGAAGAGAATAACCCTAATGTGGGGTGCCTGCTGGGCCCCCATCAGGATGGCTCTGGCTTGCCACTAGGTCCTGTGTGATTTTCCCCAGCTCAGTGCCAAGTGCTCAGCCAGATCACTGAGCTATGGCTAGAAGCAGAAGTGGGGCAGAGACAGGGAGTCAGGAGGCCAGACATTTTCCAACCTCAGGGTCACGAAAGTGCCAACCACACAGCAGAGGGAGGGAACTCCAAGGTTAGGGATGTGCAGGAAGAAAGGATGTCTAAAGCTCTGGACACTGTGGTCAGGGGTTTGTGCTAGAACTTGGGAGAGGACTGGCCTGAGAGAGATGGGAGGTGCAGGTCACAATAGACATGGTAACTGTCTGGACTAGGTGGAAGCTCTGAAAATTCTTTCAGTTCAGAGGCTGGCTCAGAACAGACTCTGAGGGGCTGAGTCCCAAGTTCAGGAGAACCTTCTTTTCCCCTGCTTCAGAACAGCCATCCCTCTAAAAATTCAGGCGGTCCTAGATCACCTAGATCTGTTTCCAATCCTACCCCATCCTTTACGTGTCTTTTATTCCCTGTGCAATGATGGTAGGAACCCAGGAAGAAATCCTTGCTTCCTAATGGAAAAGATCCTTAGAAACATCCAGAATTAATTATCTCCAGGGGGAGGCAGGGCTCTCTATTTTAATCCAGGGCCACTGGTCAATTCTGAGCTCCAACTAGCAGTGCCTGGGGCACAGGCCAGTCTGATGGCCACTGCAGTTTTAAAGCTGCATCTTGTCCACAAAACTATGTTCAATGAGCCCAAGTTGATTGCATTGTCATGGACAACAACAGGGAATATTCATCAGCGAGGACCCCACTACTTTTGAAATGGGTTGGTGCAGAGAAAGGAAGGGAAAAGGCCAGGCACAAGGGCTCTCACACCTGCAATTCTAGCTGCTTGGGAGGCTGCCTTGGCAAATCATGAGACCCCATCTCCACATTAAAGAGTAAAATGTTCTGGAGATATGGCTCAAGCGGTAGATCACCTCTTTGCAAGTACAGAGCCCTGAGTTCAACCCCCCCCAAAAAAGAAAAGGAATAAAACATGCTGCCCCCCTACCAATGGCCATGACCCCCTGTTCCAGGAATCACAGCATGCATTAGCCCCCAGGCACATGGATTAAAGAACAGCAAGTGTTTGCAAACCACACAGTGCCGATAGCTCAGGTTCAGGCACGACCCACATTCCAAGTTCACTTGGCATCCTTTACCAGCTCTAAATCTGTCCTCCCTCCAATAACTTGAGTTTGGGACCCCAAACGTCTGGTCCAAGGTGAGGTACTGGGAACACTGGTTGCCCCACCACCCCGACCAAATGTCTGAGATTCTGGGCCCAGCTCTGAGCTCACCTCTGGATTTAGCCTCAGGCTGACTCACTGCTTCCCCCTCCCCCTCCCGAAGGGCTCTGGCTGCTGTAGGTCATTGGCTATACACAATGGCGCCCAGGTCCGCAGCAGCCTGAATCACTCTCTAGACCCAGATGCCAACTGCCCTGACTCCCCTTCTCTCAGCTTCTAGCTCCTCCAACTCACCTCAGCTCCCAGACCAGACCCAAGGAGTTTCAGAGGCCTCAGAGGCTCCACAGCAGTGCCCACGGTTCCAGGGGTAAGTCCAGTTGCAGGGTAGGGGAAGGGTGCGGAGGGGTTAACTTGGAAGGGTACCAGTGGGACAAAAGGCAGCTCAGCTTACCAGAGATGGAGCTCAGGGGAGGAGCATGACTCAGCCCATCAAGACAGCAGAGGGTTCTCCAGCCCCTGGCCATTCTCCCCATACTCCCAAGTACACACACAAAACTCCCTCTCCTACAAGCCGGTCTCCTGCTTGCAGACACAACACACCATGCCAATTACATAGGCAAAACAAAGATTTTGAAATCCAACTTTCCTTTTGCTCCCAGAAGGCAAACCTTGACGAAAAGGCCATGGTGCTGAAGGCAGCCTGCACACTGGGTCAGAGAAGAAATGGGGGGCAGGGTCTCTCAGGCACTCGGAATCTTCCAAAACACCAGGACCCAGTGGAACAAATGCTGTGGGCAACAAGAGGAAAGGGGGGGTGGAGTGGAGGAGGAGGGGTTATAAAACTCAAAAGCTCTAAAAGGAGTAAGGACTAAACTGTTAGAGGAAATCAAAGGCAAAGTGGATACAGAAAAGAGAACTCCCAACCCTCAAAGCTGTGTGCCCTCCAATAAGCTACTTTGCCTCTCTGGAGAATTAGGGGCTGATAATGGCTAATGTCCTTTCCAGGTCCAGCACCCTAGGGATCTGGTGAGAGTCAATCAAGGAAGCTGCTTCAGGACCCCGGCAACTCTGCCTTCCACCTGCAACCCAGTCACCTGCCTGGAGAAGCATAGAGCTGCCCAATGTACAGCCTTAGAAAACCCAGCTGGCCCTCCTGACGATCAGCAGTCAGAATTTGCTCCTGCCCCGGGAGAGGCTTCATCCAAAGCATCACTCCAATTCCGGGGAGTTTAAGACCTGGTTTATTTTTATAGCACAAGGCCCTGAGTTCAAACTCCAGTACTGCCAAAAAAGCAAAAATTTCAAAAAACCAAAATTTCACATGTAAAAAATTAGAGAATTTTTTTTTTTGCAATGCTGGGGATTGAACAGCCCAGGGCTTCATAAGTGCTAGACAGGTGCTCTAACACTTGAGCCACACCCCAGCCCTTTGTTTCAGTTCATTATTTATTTATTTATTTAGGCAGTACTGGGGTTTGAACTCAGAAGCTCATGCTTGCTAGGTAGGTGCTCTACCACCAAGTCACTCAGCCAGCCCTTTTTTGTGTTGGGTATTTTGCCCAGGCTGGCCTCGAACCTCAATCCTTCTGCTTTCTGCTTCCACCCCTACCCCAGTAGCTAGGATTACAGGGGTAAGCCACCAGTGCCCAGCTACTTTAGTATTTTGTTTTGTTTTGTTTTGTTTGCGGTACCGGGTTTTGAACTTAGGGCCTCAGGCTTGCTAGGCAGGCACTCTACCACTTCAGCCACCTCACCAGTCCTTTTTTTAAGTTTGGTATTTTTGAGATAGGGTCTTTAGAACTGTTTACTTGGGTTGGCTCTGAAGACCTGAAGATCTTCCTGATCTCTGCCTCCCAAGTAGCTAGGGTTACAGATGTGAGCCACTGGCACCGGCTTTAGTTTGTTTTTTAGATAGGGTCTCACATTTTTGCCCAGGCAAGTCTCAGACCATGATCCTCCTACCTCTAAATAGTTGGGATTACAAAGCATGTGCTACCAATTAATTATTTGTCATTGGTTTTGTTGGCTTCTTACTCTTCAGTTAAAATGCTAGAGACTTTAAATTTGTTTCATTAACTCATCTGCTCTTTGATCTCTTGTACAAGTTTTTCTACTTGCCCAGTGAGGTCCCACCTGGCCCAAAAGGACACAAGGCTCTTGGACATCCAGCTTGTTCTTGTTCTTCAGTATCAGCGCCATTTTTTTTTTTTTTTTGGCAGTACTGGGGCTTGAATTCAGGGCCTCACACTTGCTAGGCAGGCACTCTACCACTTGAGTCACTCTATCAGCCCTTTTTTGTGTTGGATATTATCAAGGTAGGTTTCAAGAACTACTTGCCTGGGCTGGCTTCAAACCACGATCCTCCTGAGAAGCTAGGATTACAGGCATGAGCCACCGGCACCTGGCTCTGCATTAACTTTTCCTTAGGAGCACTGCCTGAACCCACATGTGAAGTTCTCCCCAAAGAAAACTCTCATTGCTTAGATCAATGCCAGACGCCGGTGGTTCATGCCTGTAATCCTAGCTATTTCAAAAGCTGAGATTGGGAGGATCTCAGTTCAAGGCCAGTCCAGGGAAATAGTTCACAAGACCCCATATCCAAAATACCAGAGCAAATTAAAAAAAAAAAAAGCAACCGGGCACTAGTGGCTCACACCACTGAGGCACAGATCAGGAGGACTGAGGTCAGAAGCTAACCCAGGCAAATAGTCTGCAAAACCCTATCTCGAAAAATACCAAAAAAGGGCTTGTGGAGTGGCTCAAGTCCTGGCAAGCATGAGGCCCTGAGTTCAAACCCCAGTACCACAAAAAAAAAAAAAAAATTAAGAGCAAGCTATCATTATTCTTTACAGGTAAGAACTCAGGCCCCAAAGGTGGTAGCAATGTTCCTGTTATAGTCACCTGCAGAGCTAGAAACTAAGGGCTCTGATGAGCAAGGGGTACCAGGGAGCAAGACTTCTCATCCCTGAACTGTTTTCTCTCTAGAGATTTCAGCCATTTCTAACAACATTAATTACTGAATATGGAACACCTACAATGAGATGGCCCTGTACAAGATATTTAATGTAGATTTTCTTTTTTGTTTTGGGGATTTATGAGGGGGTAGGGTCCCAGCCTGGAGTAGCCCAGGATGGCCTTGAATTCACAATACTCCTGCTTCAGCCTCCCAAGTGCTGGGATTATAGGCATGTGCCACCACACCTAGCTAACACAGATTTGCTAATATAAACCTTACAACAGTCTCATGATAGGAATTATTATTCCCATTTTACTAATGAGGACAAGGACTCTGAAAGAGATTATGTCAAAAAGCTAGTAAGTGGTAGGACTTGGATTTAAACTCAAGTGGGTCTGACTTCAAGGGCCATGCTGACTCCGCTGTCCACTTCTCCTGATATGTAAGGCAGGCACTAGAGAGGTTGAGTCACCCTGCCTAATCAAATCTGGCCAATACACTTCATCAGCATCAAGGTCTAGGAAATCTGGCTCAAACGAGAGCATGGGTTGATAGTGCAGTACTCACCAGTGTCCAACTTTTCTAAATGGAGTTTCTGGACTTGCAAAAGAAGACCTTACCATAACCCTGCCACTCTCTAAAGTGCTGGTCACCTCCTCCCTCTGTGGTACTGCTGACCTCTTCTCTTGAGGGAAGAAAGAGAACCAACACTCACTAAATACTTATCCTGAACTAGGCCCAGGAATAGGCATTTCAAACTTGACTCATTTAATCCCCCAAACGACCCACTTTCTAGATAAGGAAACAGAGAGGGTAGCCTGCAGAGAACCCCACAACTAGTAAGTGGCACGGCTAGGGTTCACAACCAGGATGGATCTTGGTGACTGTTTGGGAGATTATGTCACTCCTGAACTGTGGTTTACCTATCACACTATAAGCACTTAACAAGTGTTTGTTGCATGATAATGTTGGAATTGGGGTTCTTGACATAAGCCTTATTCCCATCTGTCTTTCCCCAAATATAAAACTACAGAGAATAATGCTTGCCCATCCTGATTCCCAGAGATGTGGTACAAACTAGGGAGGTGTAATCTCCAAATTTAGCAACAACAAATACACAGTAAACTCTATTCCATGGCATTAGGAAGAGGGCAGGGATACTTTGAAGACGCTCAGCTGCTCTTTGTGGAACAATAATAGCCACAAAATGCATCAATTCTCTGCCTAGTCATCCCATCTTTAGGAGTGTATGTCCAATGAGCTGACTTTAAGAAACAAAGAGGGCTGGATGCGTGGCTCAAGCAGTAGCATGCCTGCCAAGCAGGCACAAAACCCTGAGTTCAAACCCCAGTACTGAGAGAGAGAGAGAATCCATAAATCCATGCAAACATTTTTATAGATGCCCTCTATCTAACAGCTCCAAATTGGAAACAACCCAAGTGCCTAGAATCAGGAACAGTTCAGTAAATGGTGTAGCTTTGGTCCAAGAACTTGCTACATTGCCATTTAAACTGACAAGTATGTAGATAATACAACCATATGGAAAACTCCACATAAAATGACATCAACCAAAGAAAAAATCAGAACCTAAATAGTATGCAAATGGTGATCATAATAATCTTGTAAATTGTGTGAATTAGACACACTGGAGACACTTGCTATTTATTTTGTTATGCATTTGTTACTTACTGCTTATTTTTATTGTAAAAATGGCTAGTCAGTAAAAAGTAAAAAGCAAAGGAGATAATAGCTGGAAGCATTTGTTCTCAAAGAGAAATATAAGAAATGTGCTGAGACACCATCTTGTCTCAGCCCAGAAAGGCATCTGTCAGGCAGCAGGGCCAGACTGGGTTTTACCCTTCACGGTGCCAGCATAGACCACCCTCAATTTCCCATCCCCTGTGCCTTTCACAGAAGGAAAGGGGGAGCATAAGTGCCCCAAAGAATAATTCCACCCACCAGGCAGCCCCTCAGGCCTGGTGTGCCCAGCTTGGACAGATGCATGGAGGCCCAGGTATCCAAGCCAGGCAGTCACACACTGTGAACTACCAATAGAGTGCCTAGAGGGAGTCAGGATGTTATCTGTAGCCAAGGTAACCTTCCAGCCTCTCCCCCTCTGCCAGCACTGCCAACATTTGGGCCTTCTCATTCTGAGGAGAAAGAGGCCCAGCATTCGCCTCTCTTCTCTCCCTTCCCATTTTAAGGCACAGAGGTCTGCTCTCAGGGACCCCTCTCCCTGCTGGTTCCAAACTAGCACCAACTTGTCTAAGGAATGGGAGTGGGGGTAGGACTGAAGAAGAAATAATAATAAAGCAATAACAATTCATCTTTTTAAATTCTTTTTGGTTGTACTGGGGTTTGAACTCAGGGTCTCAAACATGCTAGACAAGTGCTCTATCACTGATCTGTATGCCCAGCTCCAACAGTTCATCTGTGCTAAACCCTTGTCAAGCATTGTCCCATTTAATTCCCAGGACATCCTTCTAAAACAGACCCCAGTCTGGGTCCTACTTTATAAACGAGCAAATGAGGTTCAGAAGGTTAAGTGACTTGCCCAAGGCCTCATGGCAACATGTGATAGACCTGGAAATCACACCGAGGTCCATCCTCAGCAAGAGCCTCCAAGGCTCACTTTAAGGGAAGGAGGTCAGTCCTGCTTCCTGCCTGTCTTGTCTACCTACAATGAGGTCATGCCTGAGCAACAGCTTGGGTGGAAAGCTGGAGTTTCCATGAACGACTGCCCATCCACCTATTACCTGAACAAACCGTTCCCAGCACTGCTTTAAAGGAGGGGAAGCTCTGGAGGGAGTGACCTGAAGGCTACACTGCCAACCAGAGGAGTGGGAGAAGAGCTGGGCAGAGATACCCTGGCCCATTTTGTCCAGCCTACAGCCAGAACCCTCCCCTGCTGCAGGGGGACAGAAAACAGCCGAGCACCCTGGGACACTGCCAGCCAGCCGGGAGGAAGCAGGTGCACTGGGATGGCTTCCTGCTGCCACTGTAGTTGCAGAAGGGCTGGGGTTTCCTCCTCCAACGGCCAGGCTGATGGAGCCTCCCCACCCCTCTGGGGGCACTCATTGCCCTTCTGCAGGGCACTTTGCCATCTGCCTGGCCATCATCATGTATGGCCCTGAATCTGTGATAGATCTGGAGCTGGTGGCCTGGGGATGCAAGAGGGGGTGGGGAGTAGGCTAGACCATGAAGTACCCACCTCTCAGGGTGAGGAGCTCTCTCTGGTTCCACCCTACCCTGCTCACACACACCTCAATACTGGTGCCAGTTTGGGGACGGGAACAGGGTAGTCCCTGAGCACAGAGAGATACAAATGCTTATGGGTACATCTCAGGCTCCTGATACCCCTCCGCAGCAGGCCAGCCCACACACTGCCAACTGCTGACTCAATTGAAAACCTTACCCTTGGTGGCTGGGAGTAGGAGGGGGGACAGGACAGACCGAGAGGCAGCCATGTGTCTCCTCACTTGCTTTTTTAAGGAACTTACTTCTCTGAAGTAATCTCTACTAAAAGAGAGACTTACAGACAGTCAGGCATCCCTGAGGTGCCATCTGTGCCCCTTCCAAGTGTCTAAAGTCTGGCAATACAGGAGCCCATGCTGGGTGTCCTCTTGGGGACAGTAAGAAGAGGGGTCCCTGACAACTCCAAGGACCATTCTCTTTCAGGCCCCCTTTTCTTGTCTAGCTAGGAGGAAGAGCAGGGAGAGGGCTACACTGGCAACTCAAAGCAGAGACAAGACCTCTGAAGGCCTGGGGGTGCTGGGGTTCCCAGGCTTTGGAAGAAAAGTGTTCCAAGGAATGAAGGCCTCCAAGGCACTAATGGTTTGTGGAGAAGGCGTGTCACAGCCTGTGGGGTGGCCAAGGCAGTCCCAGGAAACTGAGGTTTACAAGACAGAACCCCCTCCAAAGCGCCCAAAGTCATAATTCAGGCCCCGGATATCCCTTGCCTCTGAGGAGGTTTTGAGGCTGCCTAGGCTGGGTCATGCCCTTCCTACCAAGACATTAAGAGAGGAGCCCCAAGGCTGCCCCACCCCACCCTCCCCACCCACTTCAGCCACATCTGGGGAAATAACGAAATGCCCCTGTTTTCCTACATGAGGAAACAGTATGAGAAGCCCAGGACATTTCCAGGGTTGGGGACCAGAAGGACACTCACCCGCATGGCCTGGCCTGGAGCAGCCCAGAGCAAGGAATCTCCTCTCACTGCTACTCCGTTAGCAGCTCAAAATAGCATAGGCTGCAGCCCCGCCCCTGGTCCCCTCCCTCTTCCCAGGTCCCTCCCGCTACAGCTGCCCAACCCTGGCCCAGCCAGTAAAGAGAGCAGAGCCTGGAGGACTGCGGGTACCAGGTATGCCGGGGGTGAAGGCCATGTGGCCCGGGTGGATGGAAAGAAGGCTCTTACAGGTTATGGGGTGGGGACAGGCAGTGTTGGAGGGGTAGGGGCAAGAGGCAGGGAGGGTGGTACTTTCCTTCTGACACACACTCAGGCTCCCAAACAGCTGAGCTGATATGGCCCCTAAAAATAGCATAGGAATTTGAGACCTGCAGCCCCCGGCCCCACAAGCCAAGAGACAAGCACATGCACGTTCATGTGTATACACACACACACACACACACACACACACACACACACACGACCGCACGTACCAGCATGCACGAACACTCAATCACAGCACAGTGTTCTTCAGAGTACGTAAATCATAGGCCTACTCCTGCCATCTAATTACTGCAGCAGAAGTCAAGACTTCTAACATCACATCCGATACAACACATGGGGCCCACTACAAATAGCAGCCACACAGCAGTTCTGTAAAGTCCAGCAGCCCCAGAGACCGCGTGATCTGTCTGAGGCCCCCTATCACTGGCTCAGTGTAATAAACATGCGGAGAATATGCAGAGATCAATTGCTATTCCTCTGTCGACATCCCTCTCCCTGCACCCCACCAGCAAGTCGCTGTGCCAACAGGGAAGAAGGTGGGGTGGGTAGATCTTAGCCCTGCAGACAGAGGAAACCATGGGTGTCTGGCCAATAAGCAACACTGCCAGTGAAGAGCTAGTGTTCCTCATGAGAAATCCTGGCCTGGCTCTATTTAGCACCACTGGATGCCCAGAGCACAGCTAGGAATCCCCTGGAGGCTAAAATGGGAGCTGGGAACAAGATGGGAAGGAGTCAAAAGATAACATGTGCAAGTCTCAGAAGCTGTCAGCAGTGCAGAAGAAAGGAAACAGTCATTGCTAACGGCTTCCTCTCCAGAAAAAGAAAGAAAAAGGTGGGGCGGGGCTGATGCAAAGAAGCCCTAGGTCAGAGCTATCTCCTAGCCAGGCTGGTAGAAACCCAGGCTTGTCACCCATGGCTAGTTGTAAGAGCCAGTGGGTTCTGTAACTAACATTATCTTCTCCAGGAAAAGAGTAGTCACTACCCAAGAGGACCAAACCTACCAGACACTATGCAAGTCACCTAGTCACACTATTACACATATGGGCTATTAGATCACTGTGCTTGTGCCTCTGCTTTCCAGGGAGTGGACTTCCTCCCAGGGAAGTCATCTGGTCTTTCTTGGTTCATGTGCAGAGTCATAGGTTCCTGCAACCCCAAGGCCTCCTTAGCACAGTGGTGCTAACCACCACTGCTCACTGAAAGACCCTGAAAGAATAAACATTGATGCCTGAATCCCAACTTTTCCCTCTCAGATTCTGACTTAAATGGTCTTGGAAGGAGGAATAGGCATTCAGATTTTAAAAGCTACTCAGGTGATTATTTTTATTTTAATTTGGTTTTGAGTCAGGGTATTGCTATGTACCCAGGCTGGCCTTGAGCTCACAATTCTCCTCTTCAGTCTCCCTGTGCTGTCACACCTGGCTCCAAG